TTTGTAAGTATTTGTGGCAGATCTTCCATCCGATCCTCTTTTGCAGCCATCAGATTCAGAGCCACCACTGTTTGTTGCCATGGTACCAAAATCCGAATTCACCTTGGTAGTCCTTGAGTATGAAGATAAACAACATTTCATTTCAACACAGTTACTGTCTACTAAGGACATATATCATGCTGACCATACAAACACTTTTAAGGCCACAGTAACTAAATTTTATGGATGACATCCTCCGCAGACTCCAAATCTAATGCGAGAGGGCGAAACAAAAACAAGGCGGGCCCAAAAAAAACAAGATTCCTATATTTTGAAATTTTGACATCATAAACCCTATTAAGGCCACACCAATTTAATTTGTTGGTTCTCGGATTCGCCTCTTCGTTTTTTTCTGATTTGCAAAAAAAAAAAAAAATTTGATTCTGGTCCTGAATCAACTGAAAAATGCTCATGTTTTGCCCCCCAATAGTTGAGGAAAGTCCTTTTCTTCCTAGTTGTTACAGTTTTCCCATCTATCATTGCAGTGGTTTGATTAAAAGTTCAAAATTCAATGTTTAAATTTTAACCCAGCCTTTTGTGTTGACTTCATGGCTAATTTTGTAGCATTTAAGCCTATAATAGGATGCCTAGACCTGTTTTTATTTTTTATTTTTTTCGCCCTGTCGCTTCATATTTTTTCTGAAAAAATCCGAGAACCAACAAATTAAATTGGTGTGGCCTAAACAAGAAATGATACCTATATGGTGCTAACTTTACTGCCAACTATCACAACACCAATTTGTCACTAAAACAACTTTAGAAAGGGAAAGTTTTCAATCATTGTACAAATGGTTTTGATTCCGTGGGAACGTATAAAAGGAACAAAATACATCTTTGCATCAAAGTAAAAGTAAAAAAATAAATCAGAACCTTGTCTTGTCTCCTCTCTTCATGTTTATCTGCCATACACGTTCCAGCATGGCAAGGCAAGGCATGTCATTTTGTCCATTTTCAGAATGTTGACCAACGCTCAAAGGGCAACATCTGTTTTTTTTCCAAAATCAGGCGAAAATCAATGCGCGCGCGGATGTCATCCATAAAAATTACTTGCTGTGGCCTAAGCTTAAAAGCTGCAGAAACTATCAAACAGCATAGAGAAAAGCAAGGATTACTGGGAAAGTTGTTACTTGCTGTGGTAGCCGCGGCGACTGTTGCAGGGCTTCTCTTGCTTGCAGTCTTTTACAGTAGCCCTACTGTAAAAGACTGCAAGCAAGAGAAGCCCTGCAACAGTCGCCGCGGCTATTGCTGTGGTAGATTTGATATCATCAGGTTGTTTTAACCTTGATCTACAGATGCAATGGGACAAGATTCATGCATGGTAACTCGTCCAAAGCCTCTTGAGATATGCTGCTAAACCACATACATACATACATGTACATGTTCAAATGTTACTAAACATACCTTTCTTGGAATAACAAGTTCAAAACGAGTTAAGAACATGTTCTTACCTGCAAAATATCTTTTACACAGTCAAGTCTTGAGCTGCTACACCAGAGTAACACTGATGTCTGAAAGAACACAGGCCTCACTGTTTTCCCTTTTAGCAGGGTAGGCAGCACTACTGGAATATGGAATTCTCTTTTCCCTTTCAGCACTACTGGACTGTTTAATCCTGTGGAAAACGGAAAACAAAAACTGTGATCAGCAAGCCTACATTTCCTTCAAATATCCCCTCAGTCGACAAAACTTACTTTTAGATAGTGAATCACGCCTAACTCCCCCTCAATCCATAACAAACATGTACGAGAGTTAATGAACCTCCCCTGACTCTAGACCTTTCCTCCATGATAGAAACCAGATGTCTGGGCGGGAACTTCTACATTTCAAATAAAAAAGTCCCTTTTGTATGCAAATTCAACTGTGGATGTATAGAAATGCAATTTTAATTTGTACAAATTATATACTAGTATTTTTCTTCTACCTCCATGCAGAAACCTATAATCTTACAGACAAGAAACCGTTACTTTTCGGGCATATAGAACTCACATAATTTGTCACAAGCGGCACACACACACGCTTGTACTTGTACAATGTAGCTTGTGAGAAAACGAAAACAAATTTAATTTGTACGTGTTCTTCTCCTGTCACATCGATGACTGTAGAGTTGACAAGCTCTTGGTACGTACCTGAGTTGTATGTATGATGAAATCCCGACGAACTGAACCGAAAAATGCTCGTAGAAAGACGACGAGATAAACCCTCGATACTTTCTTCCACGCCACGACACGTCTGGTGGGCGGGGCTAGCGGCACGAGCTCTGCAGAGATGGAATTCATGAGGCAAACCGAGGCGGTTTCTCGTTATCCGCGGAGTTCGAACTCTTATGCCACTTTGTGAAACTTTATCAAAAGTTTCGATGAGACTGTAGAGCTTGGGGACCCCAGGGGAATTAGGTCTCCATGCTGTTGTAGTTATGCACATTTCACGTGCCGTATTCCATAGTTCGCTCGACAATGTCCAAGTATGATCATGTTTTTCTAATCTTGCGTACGCAAATTGTTGCACAGTCACATAAGTAAACTGTGTAACCATTTCAGTCTTCTCAGATCTGTGAGACTGAGAGTGAAGAATATCTCCCTTATTTATACAGGTTTATTGTTTATTGTTTATACAGGTTGAAGGTAAAAGTAACGGTCCCAAATCGCGACTGGTGCCACGAAAGGTGGCCTGCCCTCAAAGGCGTCTGGGAAGAGGAATTCACCTTTTGGGAATGTTTGTCTGAACTTCAACTATTGATAACTTTATGATGGCTACCACTGTAGAAAAGGGCACATATTAGCCTTCAAAGCACATGGTTTAATTGAATTTGTGGAAGATCTAGTCCAATGCTCGAGATCAAGATGTAATGTGTAACACAACGTCACATCTAGAGTCATTCTTGCCCTCAGTAGCAACTTGAGACCACCTTGAAACACTCGTACTAATGAAAAATGATAACTTCAGGCAGATATCTTAGAACTGTGCATTATATTTTATTCATAATAACATCTTTTGACGAACCTTCTAGAACTTAAAGTCACTACTGAATGAAGTATAATGTACGTGCCAGAAAGCACCCTTTCAAAGGTTTGTATACAATATATACATCACAAAGGAACATCAAATCCTACACAAGAAGGACTGGGCATCAAGCCCAACGTTCTACAGTAATAAGTAGTCTGGAGACTACAAAAATAACACTAACCACAGGTTCTGTCCCTAAAGAAGTAGGAGAAGTTTTGGTACTAGAAACAATGGCAGGATTGGACTGTACACTCTCTGTGTACAAATACTTCCAATGAAAACCTACAGAAAAATGTGATATAGAGATCTTACAGAACTGAAATATGAAGCTCCATTTTGTTCAAAAGTGATATTTTCACTATGTGCGCAGGTGATCACAAAGAACACCATAGTATCTTCATTCTTTTTTGATACTTGTCAATATTCTTATGAATGTAACATCTGTGTCCATATTTTTCTCAGGGTCCATAATATCGCCTGCTTGAGAAACAGTGTGCTTAAAGATATTTTTACTGCAATATACTTTTGGTATGCACTCCTTCACACATCAAATGTACATACCTAGGGTATGTTGCAGTAAAAATATCTTTAAGCACACTATTTCTCAAGGTGGCGATATTATGGACCCTGGTGATATTATGGACACGGATGTTAAAGAGAGAGTCATTCAATCATACATCTTCAACTGTTGATTTACAAGTTTGTGTATCCATACATTTCCAGTGCCTAGCCTAGCTCTCAGACATTGCCAGGCAAACATACATTTGTCTCCAGTGCTTAGGCTGGCTCTCAGACATTGCGAGGCTATTCTTTATACAAAACATCATTGTGCAGTTCACTATTATTCCAACAGCAGTACAACTTGTTTTAACATAATGTGATTGGTGAAAAACACATGACACACACTTGTAGAGGACAGTTTCAAATCATAAAGGCCTATTACCCCACAATTCTCTTACTCAAATTTATGAACTGAGATCACATTCTGGAATTACCCTTCTGCACATTCATTGATAAAAATTTATCAAAACCTATTCCCACACTCCCTGCTCATGGCTTGAATACAGTTCAAAAGAATAATATGTTTATAGTACATTATTTATTGGACATTTTTCTTTTACTGATGATTCCTGTCTCCTGTGCTATAACACAGCTGCACAGATAAACAGTACGAAGTTGCTGGCAGATATACAATATAGAGCCTGACTCGGTTTGTTTTGCTGCTAGCATAGATTCAAGCTTGTCAATGCTATCAACACTTTCCTATTACATTATCATAGCGATTATTGTCACTATTATTCATGTAATGGTCATAGAAGAAACTTTTTTTCAAAGACCAGCACTTAGTATATATGAGTAAGACAGCAAAAAAGTGTCTGTGTATTGTGAAAAACCCAAGAGCTGTCCTTGCTAAGATAGCAAAGGTGCCTGTCTGTAGAGGTGCACTTCACAGCTGTCCTTACTAGAAAAGCAGAAGTGCCTGTCTGGTGGCAGGAATCAACCTTACTCCACAACTTACAGAATCATTTATCAGGCTCTTAACACAGTGTTGTCTTGATCTGACTCGTGGGTCAACAAGAAGTGGTCTACAAACTACTTTCTATCCGGTAGAACTCCCAGCTTAGATGGAATCATTTTGGCAAAAATGTTTGGAAGAAGGACTAGAGAAAGAAAAATATTAGTGAATAAAATAAATAAATTGGGGAGGGAGGAATACAAAGGGTTTTTATCAGTTGTATGATAGCAGCCTAAAATTTAAGTTGCTCAGTTGCAATAGGGCCAATTTATATTTTTATGTTTACCTTTGCAGAAGGAAAACATTGCTTTTGCTCTGTGTCTTCTTCTTCTTGTCCAAGCAAATAAAGTCAATGACCTGAACCAGACGTCTGTCACCATGGTAACTGGTGTTGGGTTACATCATGTTGCAATTTTATAGCAGGAGGGATTTAGACTCCTGTCACCATATAATATATTATATGAATGTGTTTGAGTAAGAATTAACAGAGCAGATCATATGCAAAGGTAAACATTATGCATTTGCTTTGCAAATTAAACATTTCTACTACAACTGCTACTATAGGTTGGTAGTTGGGGATGGGCTGGAAGGGGAGGATTGGGGAGACTTTGGGGGGAGTTCCAGTAACTTGAGGGAGGACAGCAGCTGGATGTTGACCTCCATCAGCCGATGACAGACGCCAGAGAGGTCAGTATCCGCTCGGGTCATCACAAGGACACCTGGAACAGGTCAGAGGTGAAAGGTCACTACAAAAGCACCTGTAAGAGTGTTTGCAACCATGTCAGCAAGTGCAAGTATTGGCAATGTACTGTATACTTTCAAACAGTAACTGGAAACCAGACTTGATCAAGAAATAGCAAAAAAATTTTTATTCAGAAATAGACCAAATGCCAGCATCATCTATTGATATGATAATTCTTTGTAACAAAAGCATCAGTACTTTCACAATGAGAAGTGCATAGCACTATTACTTAGCTAGCTGCTACATCATAAGGTATAATATAACACAATGGATTAGAGTGAGATATACATGTACCTGTTTTGTTGTCGGCCACATGTTTACAGAACAGTGCCAGCAGGTACTCCATATCATCCTCATCCGCAGAACCAAACACCAGGTTGGGCCACATGGACCTGAATGCCCTGATGAGCTGTACACAGGTGGTCAGCTGTCCGTTCTTCAGGTTCTCCAGCAGGCTGTCCTCTGCCACCTGGCGTGACAGCGACACCGTGTCCACCTGCCCCACCTGCGACACGCTCCCGTTGTCCACATCGTAGATGGCCTGCTGCAGCCGCGCCTTCAGGTCCGTCGCGTCGCGGGAGAAGTCTGTCACCTGGAGTGGGAGGAATGCACGTGGAGCAAGCTTTAGTCTCCTAAGCAAGTACTGCGCCTGTGCAAAACTCCCATTTTCACGGTTTTCATTTTTTCGATTTTTTTTATTTTTTTATTTCTGGTCAACGTTGCATCAGAATTTTGCCTGATGTCGATTTTTTCCGACATGACATTTGGAAACTATAAACAGAGTGTTAACCTTATATGCGCAAATACGACCTTATATGAGACATTCTGCCAATTTGAAAGTGCTATGCACATACAATACTGGTTTCGCGCAGGTGCAGTATGTTTAGCCTGGGTGCCATCTGATTTGTAACGGCTACCCCGAAAAAATCAAATTTTTTCGGGGTAGCCGTTACAAATCGGATGGCACCCAGGCTACAGTATTTTCTGCCGACGTGCTAGATTACTGGAGGCATTTCTCCCCTCTTGAATCCACTGGATGTTCTTACAATTGAGGACATATAGAATTTCCTGCCATAGGGAAAGGGTAGAGAAATTTTTCATAATCTATGATTCAATTTACATAGTGTTCTCATTAGGAGTACATTCCCTGCCATAGACAGGTATCATGTTTTCACCTGAGGTGAAGACAGGTGTGAAGAGGGATACTACTGCCACCTTAATGTCCAGCTGTAGGTGCATTTCACATACCTGTGGTGCATTTGCCGCTGTGGATAGCAGTTTGACCAGCTTGGAGTAACTCTGGAACAGCAGTAGCAGCTGGAAGTGCAGCTTGTACAGGTGCCGACACAGCTCGATTTGCTGTGAAAAAAACAAGATCACTGAAGGTCAAAGTCAACAAAAAGACAAGGTCAACATCTAAACAAACATGCCCAAAGCTGATATCTACAGCCAGCTTTAAATAGATTTCAGTTTAGTCATTTTTCTTTGTGCAATTGTTCATTTTGCGACTTCAGAAGTGAAAGAAGAGCAACATGCTTTTTTTATAGATTTTGGAAACATTCAAAGACAGGCTTTTTTTAGTCAGTGTAGCCCAAACTTAGCAAAGCCAAACATAGACCTTGCCACAAGGTCTTTGATGCTAAGCAGTGTTGTTAAACATTAACATAGATCTGCCCATACTGCATGTATGTGGTGTACTGTATTGAGCTGTTGGACATTGGATGGCCACAACATATGGTGGAATGTAGAGATATCACATCACAGTCACAACATCAACTTACAAGACACAGTTCCTGGTGAGAGAGGCAGTGGGGAGGGGGGTGGAAAGACAAAAAGCATCAACAGTACGGGTGAAAAATTCTGCCTTCCTTTTTCCACAAGTACAGACTAGTGTTCCTCTACGTAATATTGTAAAGATGTAGTAATTATGTTTCAGTAGTATGAATGCCTGTCAAAATGTCTAATTTGCTATCTGTAGTTTGATAGGAAACTGCTAGGGGCATTTCACTATCCTGCAAATGCTGGATCATCGTGTTACACCTAATCTGTAATATTCCAATGGTCAGTGATTTAAACTGCCAAAAGCCTTTAAAATGAATTATTTTTATCATGAAAGTTCATCTGTGTTGGTAGTTACATGTTCAAAGTTAAAACTTTTGGTCCAACACAAAAAATTCTCTCACCTAGAGCTTTCGACCAGTCACTCTGGTCTTCCTCAGTAGACTGACCCAGTGGAGCTTGTCACTTGGCTTCTTTGAAGTGTGGCGTCTACCAGATACCTTTGACCAAGTGTTGACGTCACACATCAAAGAAGCCACGTGACAAGCTCTAGGTAATTTTCGTGTTGGACCAAAAGTTTTAACTTTAAACATGAATTATTTTTAGTTATTCTATAGAAAAAGGATTGCACTGGTTACTTCCAGTACTGATCATAATCTGATCATTACTAAATGTTATACAAGAAGTTGTCATACATAGAAACAACACAAACACCAAGACCGGTCAAAACATGCTTAAGGTCCCTGTCACAGTCAGGACCTTGCTACAACTTCCTCCCAACCACTTACCAACCAAGGTCAGCAATGTGCTAGCCTGGAGTCCAGCCTTGTTAGCTTTGGTCCGCTCCCCAAGATCCACTACCCAGCCAACAAAATAGCCTGGCATCCATCCTATTCTAGCTCCAGTTTGCTCCTCTCATCACATCCAAGCAGAATATGTATGACTTTCCCAACTTTTTTGTCAAGATTCATAGTTGGCTGGCACTGGCAACTTTTAAAGACTGGTAGACGACATCGCCAACCAAATCCCAACCTTGCTTATGACTAACAACCATAATCAGAGATGGTCAGGAGGCCATGGTTGGCTTAAAATGTGTGACAGGGACTTAAAACACAGACTTACACCCACATGTTCAAATACAACATGACATACTAGTATTATTTTAAAGCTTTCCTACCTGCTGTTCTCCATTGCCTCCAGCCTCCTGTAGTGACAACAAGAAACCTGAGTCAGATCAAAGGAACCCAAGAGAAATACCTTTACCAAAATCATGTCTCTGACATAATGATGAGAAATAAGCTTGAATCAGTAGCTCAAAAATCCAGCCATTTTTGAATATCAAAATCATAGCCATTTCTGAATATTAAAATCAGTGGAAAAAACAAGGTTTGAACATTTAAGTCAAAGACTGGAAAAGGGACGTTTTGCCAAATCAAAGTGGCTGTTAGAATGGATATGTAACACTGACCTTAAAACTCCTACATTTGTAATAGGGAGTGTAGTACATAGAAGATTCAAAACACTAGAACTTAAGTTTCAAGCAACTCACCTCTCCAAGGGACTGTCTTTTCAACGACTCCTTTATCTTGTCAAGACACTGGAAAAAGACGTGGCTAGGTCAGTCATCTTTATCCTCCATCAGAATAAAGTATATGGATACAACCTGGCTTGGAAAATGTAGACACTCATATATGCTGATGGTGTGGCAGGCATGTGTGCAGATGGTGTTCAGTACCAGGAACAGTTATGTGTATTTATTTATGTGGCTAGTGTTCAGCACCAAGGACAGGCATCAGTATCAGTGTGTAGAGAGTGTTCAGCACCAAGGACAGACATTTATATATGTGAGTGAATAGTGTTCAGCATCAAGGATAGGCACCAGTATCTGCGTGTGGATAGTGTTCAGCACCAAGGACAGGCACCAGTATCTGTGTGGATAGTGTTCAGCACCAAGGACAGGCATGTATATCTGTGTGTGGATAGTGTTCAGCACCAAGGACAGGCATGTATATCTGTGTGTAGATAGTGTTCAGCACCAAGGACAGGCATGTATATCTGTGTGTGGATAGTGTTCAGCATCAAGGACAGGTATATATATCTGTGTGTGGATAGTGTTCAACACCGAGGACAGGCATGTATATCTGTGTGTGTGAATAGTGTTCAGCACCAAGGACAGGCATCAGTATCTGCGTGTGGATAGTGTTCAGCACCAAGGACAGGCACCAGTATCTGTGTGTGGATAGTGTTCAGCACCAAGGACAGGCACCAGTATCTGTGTGGATAGTGTTCAGCACCAAGGACAGGCATCACTATCTGTGTTTGGATAGTGTTCAGCACCAAGGACAGGCATATATATCTGTGTGTGGATTGTGTTCAGCACCAAGGACAGGCATGTGTTTTTGTGGGCAAATAGTGTGAATCATTAAGAATGGGCATTTGTATATGTGCGTAGATAGTGTTCAGCACCAAGGGCAGCGATGTGTATCTGTGTGTTAATGGTGTTCATCATTGGGAAAGTTCTTTTCAAGAAGATAAATTTGAAATCGATTTATGAAATTAACGTACTGCGCTTTAACATGCTGTATCTGTATCGGTATAGCCGGTATAATCGCCCTTCGGCGTAACACACCAGCTGAATACCATACCTCGACAGTGGCGTCCCTCTTGCAGATGTAGGTGTCGTAGTGCTCCTGTATCTCCAGCACTGCAAACTTGTGCCTCTCCAGCAGCTTACATGACAGGATCTGGACACACACAAACACAAGGCAACATCAATACATACTGTACAGTACAAATACTTTGAAAAATCCTTTTCTATAACTTCAGGGGCACAATGACAGAACTATTACATACTATCAGAAAAAGCATGCTTCTTGTCGCATGATGACTTTGTTGTCTTAGTTTTGAAGTAATGCATACAGTTATTAGGTTCAGCAGATTCTTTTCCTTGTTTTAAATCTTAATCTATGTTATCAATTTTCTTTTAATTGTTTCAGTACAAAAAACAACTTAACGACAATATGGACAATCTTCAATATGTGAATATGGATAGCATTCCCGTAGCATGAAGCAACGAAGACGTACCGTTTCTGTGTCGGTGAAGATGTGAGGACACTCTGCCTGTGACACCAGCAACTCCAACATATTCAGTAAGAATGGTCAAGGAAACAGAACAAATCAAACTCTTTCTGTAACAGAGACATATGTCTCAATGGGTCCTACTATAGTAGCTAGCTAATTTCTCATAACAGGACCATCCTATTGAGAGCACCAACACAAATTACAGATGCCATATGCTAAATTGAATGTTAGGGAGAAATTCTTCAGTGTGAGAGTAATTCAGGCATGGAACAAGCTCCCAACGGAGACTGTAAGTCAGTGGAACATTATCAGATTCAAGAACAGCATTGACAAAATACATATTCACATAGGAACTGCAAAAGGCTACACACCCACTTGCTCCTTTCTCTCTGCAATTCAGGCAAATTCTATTACTGAGCACACCTACTCAGTTGTTACTGATAAAAACTTCTGATTTCAAGTCTTTGATGGCAAGAATTGAATGGATATAAAACAGTTACTGCATCATAACTATATACATGCCAGCTGTGTATGTCCCCTCCTGAGATAGAGCACCTTAGACTGACAGTACAAGTTAGAGCTGTTGCTCAGAGAAAGGATATGGAACTGTGAGGCAATGCCTCGGAGCTTGTCCCCCAGGTAGTTACAACATTCTCTGGTCAGGTTGTAGAACCTTCTCCTGGTGATCTGGGGGAAAAACACAATTACAATTCAGTATCATATCATCCAACCAACCAACCATCCATTGATTCATCAACCCATCTAATGATTGATTAACCCATCCCTCTGTTCTGCAAAGTTACATTTCCTCATCCACTACAACCCCTACAGAGCCCCTTGGCTCACCCTGTGCAAATGACTGGAAGGTGTTTATAGCACGTCTCATTGTTGTCTGACAGTATCAACCCCACATGCATAATAAATGGTTTATTTTTCAAACTTTAGCTGTGCAATCGCAGCCTTTTATAGCGCTGAATTGATGCAGGGTTTACAATCACATAATACACACTGATACATATAACATATTTGCTCCACACACTTTTGTAGAATTGTTGCAAGGGTCTGTGTGACTGGCACCACCAGGTACCTCAATACAACTTTCCCCAACCGAAGTTAGGTACCCATTCACACCTGGGTGGAGTGAGGAAAGTCGTGTTAAGTGCCTTCCCCAAGTGCACAACGTCGGGGCGCATGTCAAGACATGTCCCTGGTACAACTCGGGATCGAACCCGGGTCTCGCCGTTTCATAGTCGAACGCTCTACCACTACATCACCTGACGCCACATGTGCATGAGCCCCCCTCCCTCACCACAATTCACCAGTACTTCCCAACAGATTGTCTCACCCTGTAGAGTCGCGCGAACAGTTGGAAGGTGTTGACGGCACACGTCCCGTTGTTGTCTGACAGGATCAGCCCCACGTGGGTGAGCCACACCTCCTCTATCTCGTCCATGGAGATCGGCAGGAACTCGGATGTCAGCGATGAGAAATGTGGTGACGTGCCAGGACTTGTGTCTGCACCGTCACCCTCGCTACACACACTGGAAAACAAAACGAAGACAATTAATTTATACATCTAGAAGACATACATGTACATGCAAATGGCTTCAATATCCTTCACATTTTTGGAGAATGTTTGATTTTTCTTGCACGTTCGCTAAAACAGAGGACATTCTCAATCATCTTTTAAATTCCTGTTGACCCTCAAATGACCTTGAAATGGACAAGCATTGGACTGACCTTGAAATGGAGAGGTCAATCTACTGACCTTGAAATGGAGAGGTCAATCTACTGACCTTGAAATGGAGAGGGCAATCTACTGACCTTGAAATGGAGAGGGCAATCTACTGACCTTGAAATGGAGACGGCAATCTACTGACCTTGAAATGGAGACGGCAATCTACTGACCTTGAAATGGAGACGGCAATCTACTGACCTTGAATTGGAGACGGCAATCTACTGACCTTGAAACAGAGAGTGTAGTGGACTGACCTTGAAATGGAAAGGGCACTGGACTGGTCCTTGTGCACTTCCATGCTGATTGGTTCAGAGGGCAGCTGGTCGTCCGTCCCGTCGGCGGTGTCGGCTGTGTTGGTGGGGTGGAGCGGCTTGTGCTCCGCCGAGGCGCTGGGCAGGTTGTCTATCGTCGCTGGCAAGGCCTCCTCACTTGGGGAGATACTCTATACAGAACATACGCACATCTGTCAGTAGACGTACAAAAAGACAGGCATGAGTATATATGTGTGGATAGTGTTCAGCACAAGGACAGGCATGTGTATATACAATGTATGTGTGGATGGTGTTCAGCACCAAGGACAGGCATGTGTATATATGTGTGGATGATGTTCAGCACCAAGGACAGGCATGAGTATATATGTGTGGATGGTGTTCAGCACCAAGGACAGGCATGTATATATGTGTGGATGGTGTTCAGCACCAAGGACAGGCATGTGTATTTATGTGTGGATAGTGTTCAGCACCATGGACAGGCATGTATATATGTGTGGATGGTGTTCAGCACCAAGGACAGGCATGTATATATGTGTGGATGGTGTTCAGCACCAAGGACAGGCATGTGTATTTATGTGTGGATGGTGTTCAGACCATGGACAGGCATGTATATATGTGTGGATGGTGTTCAGCACCAAGGACAGGCATGTATATATGTGTGGATGGTGTTCAGCACCAAGGACAGGCATGTGTATATCTGTGTGTGGGTGGTGTTCAGCACCAAGGACAGGCATGTGTATATACAATGTATGTGTGGATGGTGTTCAGCTCCAGGGACAGGCATGTGTATATACAATGTATGTGTGGATGGTGTTCAGCACCAAGGACAGGCACCAGTATCTGTGTATATCTAAGTGTGTGGATGGTGTCCATCATTGAAAAAGCTCTTTCCATGAAGATAAATTTGCACCTTAACAAAAACAAAACTGATAGGCTTGGACCAATTTATTCTATCACTTCTGACTTTTTTCATTTGCAATGTAGACATTTCATAATCTACATTTTCCTTGGACTAACACTGCTTCATACATACAACAATTGGTTTCATATCTGTATGGTTTAGTTATTAGGCAATAAACAAACATCAGAAATAAAGCAATCAAATTGGAACTTCAATACGATTATACATGTACACAGACAGCAGTTCACTTCTGCATTGTGACTTGTTTGTTTGTTTAGTTATTTAACCAGGAAATACATGTCGCCTATTGGCGGTTTTCAAAGATTCCTGGGGGGTTACCCCAACAAAACTACATGACATTATAATTATAACAAAAGATTAAAGATGAACTAACAAAGGTCAACTATAAAATAGATAAACTTATCGTAAACAAGACGAAATCGTAACTAACTCAACAATCAAATGAAATAAGGTAACATAGAAGTAATTATAATCGTTCAGATATCAAATCATAATGGTAGATAATCAAAAGGTATGTCAACTTAAAAGTAAATAACTAAAAGTGGAGTTTGCATATCAATGGAAAGAAATATAAATAATCAAATCAAAGAGCCATGGAAAGTCAAATAATACAGAAGTAACGGAACAAGTTGACCTTGGTATATCAGTGTCCAGTAGTTATATATTGTCATCACCATAAAAAACGTACCTCATCATCCGATGACTCGTCCTTCATGTCAGCGGAGGCCAGACTGGGCACGCTCCCGGACAGCTGACACCCCTGCAGCGACCCCTCGCCGTTTTCCACGCTGTCAAGCGACCGTCGGCGCACGCCCCAGTTAAAGTTGTCCAAACCTTCCGACTAAAAGAGACACAGACATAGCATAAATTTTCTTGAAAACTGCTTTTCCTTTTTCGACTTCAGTAAATAATGACGTACATACATTGAAACACAGCACTGCACACACACACATGTACATTGAACTGGAGGCCAAATATTATTCAGCATCACAAAACCACAATCTTCATTTCAGACTGTTTTCTTTTGTCAGTCAGTGTGTAAATCGTTGCAAACTTCAAGGCCCACTCCCACGACCTTGGTGTGCAGCTTGAAGGTCATGAATCATCTTATTCACACAGAGGTTTCTCAACGTCCCTTCTTCTTGCTTTCTTTTAGTAAAGACACGTACAAGAAGACTGAAGGGCAAGCATTCCTTATTTTCAATTGGACTGAAATGCCAAGATGCCCTGAAACCATGACAGCAGAACTGTCCACTTCACACATTCAAAATATCATGTTTCAAGAATCAGAATCAAAATGCTCAGAGAAACCAGCAGAAAAGCAGTGAAAGGCTTGGGATGTGAGAACTGATAGGCAGTGGGAACGCGCCACATCGCACACCCAGCATGGTGAGGTTACCTAGCGACGTACCTGCCTTCCGCTGGAGTTCTGTCCGACAAGAGAAGCCAGTTAGGGTTAGAGAAGAGAGAAACGATTAGTGGGGAGGACAGAAGTGCAAAGGTCACCCTCGGATGTGTTCTACAGAACCCTCAGCCCAGCAAAACACCTCTTAGAAATAATAGAATTGTTCACAAGAGTAGTGTTGCCAGGTAGTGAGCATTCTACAGAACACCTGGTCTATGTGCTAGGAGGGTACGTGCACCTACAGTGATCTATAGTAACGTCTACCAGAATGCTAAAGTACGGACAAAGAGGTGTTTTTCAAACGTAACTTTCCAGTATAATCATGAAAATGCCTTTTTGCTCAATATTTCAGAACCATAATTTTGCCACAGCAATTTAATCTATGTCTGATACTTTGTGTGGATATCATGTTAACAACCAAGTCTATAGAGTGACAGACATACATCAGATGATATAAACACAGATAGACAAAGACAATACTAGGATCACATATCCTCTTGCAACTCAATCCATTTGTACAAACCAGAATACAGACTGAAACAGCATATTGGCAGAACGTACTGTGCCTGCACGAAACCTGCATTGACCCGTTATGTCTTGACTAGAGCTGTGTACCTAAACAAATTTTAGGTACAGGTACAGGTACAGGTACACAGGTTTAGGTACAGGTCCGGACCTGAACCTGTACCTGAACAATTCGACCAATTTATATGCTCTTCTGAACTCATTCAATAACAAAAAAAACATTAATAAACTTGATAGTTAAGGTTTATTCTTTGTTTATGGCGAATGCTCAGATAAAATATAGGCAAAACTAAGATGTTTTGTTTTCATGAACACACTGTCCTTACACAGATACCCATTGTGGACCAGCTATTTACACATTTGAGGTCACAAATAGGCATAAAATTGGTGTGAAATTGTTTAGGTACAGTACCGGTACTGAGGGATTAGGTATTTTGGACCTGTACCTAATCAATTTTTCCGGTACAGTATCGGTACTGCGTACCGGTACACAGCTCTAGTCTTGACCCATTACGTCTATGGGCAGAATGTCTCGTTTAAGGTTGTATTCATGCATTTAAGGATGACATCAACTCTATAGTTTTCAAATGTTGTGTGCTACAAGATATCGTCTGCGACGGGCAGAATTTTGTTGCAATGTTGACCAAACATCCGACAAATATCCCCCGACTAGTGGCCGAATGGAATAAACTAGAAATGCCAATTAGGGCCTTGGGGGTTGCAGCATCAAGTCAGTCTGACATATTGCAATTCAAACGGTGTCTTGTCCAGTCAGTAATCAGCAAGTTCCAGGACAACTTTGACACAGACAACATATGTACATGGTCTGCGGCTTGCAGGTGTGGAACATGCATAGCGTTAAGACCTCGCTGACATTTACGTAGAATGATATTTGATTTATTAATGTCCATATTTTTGTATGTATGTTTATGTATTGCTTTCATAATGTGTTTAAATCCAATGCTGTTTTATACTGTTTTTATTGATGTAATTAGGGGAGGGAGCTGGTAAAGGTGACCCACCTGTTCTCCCTCCCCCTCCATGCATGTGCTGGAAAATTCTAAATAAACAAACAAAAAACATGAAAAATCCGGGGTTTCATACAGGTGCAGTGCGTTCTACCGAAATGCTGATTGAAGCAACACTCATCACACAGAACAGATTTTTTCACCTCAGCCTCCTCTAGTTCTGCATCCAGAAAGTCAAAGTCCTTAAAGATGAAGTGTTGTCCGCTCTCGCCGCTCGTACCTTCCTCCATCTTGTTGTCGCTAGGTAACAGGTCGGGCGGGGACACCTCATCACTGGACGAGTACATGCTGGTCTGTCTGTCCAGGGCCAGGTCACTACTGGAGCTGAAGATCACCTGAAGGACAACAGAACATGGTTCTTAAAGGAACTTGTGTTACATGTACCTGTCCTTTTTGCAATTTTGGGAGAAACCTGCACCTCATGAACTACAAATGTATTGTTGATAGCTTCATTGCAATTTGAAAGGTACCCACAAGTAGTAAAGTTAGCCAAAATAACACTGAACGTCTAACATTGCTCGTTTCTACCTCTTAAAGGACAAATCCAATACTTTCAGTTTTGGGGCCTTTCCACCCAAAATCCTATTTGTAAATGGTGATTTATTGGTTTCTGCCAACCCCGCACATATTCGCGGTTATATCTGACCCGCTCGATGTTCCCCGGCAACAGACCGATTGTCCGCTAGGCGGCGCAGCGACTGTAGATTTGACGTCACCGTTTCCATTCTGCTACTAGCGAAAACAATCATGGCGGGCGCATCTGGACTGCATCGGCTGTGAAACCCTTCCGTTTTGAGCCACAGACAGACAGTAGTGGTGACTCTGACCCCGATCCAGGCGATGAGAACGTTTGGGATGGAGGTGACGTGGAGATAGAGCGTTGGAGGTTGGGGAACCGGGACTGGTGCCGCTGTGGAAACTGCCTGGAATTGCGAGCTCTGTACGGGAGTGTTTGTTGCCACGACTTGCCAGACACTGTTAAAAAAGAACGTCGGTCCAGACCACCCATGCATTAGAAACCACCCTGACTTCGATGTGATTCTCCACCCGGCAAACCTCCGAACTTTGCTGATTTTTCGTTGGGATCTGATCCGGCAGGGCGTGCAGGAGCCGGTCTCTAACAGGTCGGTACCACGGTTTGTTTACGTTGCACTCAACCCTTTGACAAATTTATTTACATCGATCGTCCAACCTCCAACGCTCTGTCTCCACGTCACCTCCTTCCCAAACGTTCTCATTGCCTGGATCGGGGTCAGAGTCACCACTACTGTCTGTCTGTGGCTCAAAACGGAAGGGTTTCACAGCCGATGCAGTCCAGATGCGCCCGCCATGATTGTTTTCGCTAGTAGCAGAATGGAAACGGTGACGTCAAATCTACAGTCGCTGCGCCGCCTAGCGGACAATCGGTCTGTTGCCGGGGAACATCGGGCGGGTCAGATATAACTGCAAATATGTGCGGGGTTGGCAGAAACCAATAAATCACCATTTACAAATAGGATTTTGGGTGGAAAGGCCCCAAAACTGAAAGTATTGGATTTGTCCTTTAAGTTAGGGCTTCCATGTGTACATGCAAAAGAATTACATGCATATATGACATTGTTTGCAAGGCAAGTTTGGGAACAACAAGAACAAAAAACAGATAAAAGGACCAGTGCAGGTTAGACATCAGGAATAACTCTGATCTTACCCAGCATTATCCTGCATATGCATACTTTAGACATAGTGGAATTTCGATCTCTGAAAGTTATTATGAAGTAAAGACGATTATTGTACTCACTGAGGGACTCTTAGGCAGTCCAACATTTTGCCCACAGTTGGACAGCACGTTGACAAGCCGCTCTCTTGTTCGCCTCTGGAAGACAAAAATCAAGGTTGACTTACTGTTCAGCATGTTAAGAAAGGATGACACGGTCGAGAATACGTAAAACAGCCTCTAACTGGAGACCTAATGGGAAAAGAAAAACAGGCAGACCAAAAACTTGGAGAAGAACCAGGCCAAGGACAGATCCAGATGGAAGAAAAAAAGTCACGGCCTTATGTCTTGCAAGGGATGAAGAGGATATTAAGTAGGTATTGCTCTTTCAGCACTCCTTGTACCTGAGACAGGTGAGGTTTTTTCCAGCAGACAGGGATCATGCAGGAGCCGTGTCCGACAGCGGTGCTGGCTGAGGACAGGGTGGATGTGTTGGAGGAGGACTGGCGCTGACTGGAGCTGTCCCCGCTGTCGTGCGCTGCCTTGCTGTCCTCATCAGCGTCGTCTGCGCCGTCCTCTATCGTGATCTCCACCACGTCGGGCTGAGCTTGCGGGGACTGGACACGGCGGCCGATAATCGGTGTCTGTCCATGGCGGATAACAAGTAGATGATCAGTACCACTATTCTCAATGTGGTAGCTTCTGAACAATGGCACATTTACTGATAATCTTGAATTGAAAGTTCATCTGTGTTGGTACAGATGAACTATTATGAATGGTTTATAGTAGTAAAAAACAAGAAGCATTTCACAGTCTGCCTACTGAATACAGTCACTCCTTTACATGTACTTAAAATCACAATTCTTTACTTAAACTAAAAAATTACAAACAACATTGAACAACAATTTAAGTCTCAAAAAGTCCTCCGTGTTGCACAATCACGCAGTATTCAAATCATTCAGCTCAGTCTAGCAAAGTAGGGAATTGATGAGTTCCAATATCGTTTAGTTCTGGTAGAAGCCATTATGAAACAAATTTAAACTGCAATTTTCAACACAATGGATTCTTTTGAAAAAATTATAGCTCAAACTTGTTTCATAATGATAATCTTGAAGTGAAATTAGACAAAATCTGCTAAAACCAGCAGCTATAAGAAGTTACTGTAAAATTATTTACAATGATGTATTATAACAATTTTAAAATGAAAGAATGTAAAAAGCGACCTGTGAGACATCGAAGCGGAACTCGAGTGTGGGACCCGGCAGGTCTCTCTTGACTGGACACACGTCGATGTCGGTGAGGGACAGAGAACTCTCCTTGATGTCCTTGAGCTCAGGGATGTCCTCGGGACTGACCAGCGTAGACGACCTTTGAACTGCAAGCTTCAGGATGTTCAACGATTCCTGCCAGTGGTTACTCTAGAGTAGATATATAAACAAAGTGATTATCATATGGCTAAAAACTCAAAAATTCTGCACCAAACCTACATTTTAATGAGCCACAAGTTAGTATTAACAGTAAACCCTGAAGAGGATGACAGTCACTACAGTTTCAAACTAAGATTCCAAATTTGCAGTAACTGTTATGTATGATAATTATATTATCCAGTCTTACAACCAATTAACATGCAGGCACCCTACAGGTTGGAAAAATTTGTGTCAGCATGCAACCAGTCCTACTATTGATTATGTTTACCGAAGGAAAACTCTGTTTTTGCTACGTTTTTTTCCTTCTTCTCCAAACAGTGACCTCTGACCTGCCTGAACCAGACTGTCTCTCACCATGGTAACTGGTATTGGGATACATAATGTTGCAATTTTACAGTAGGAGGGATTTAGACTCCTGTCACCATATATGTGAATGTGTTTGAGTAAGAATTAACAGAGCAGACCATATGCAAAGGTAAACATTATGCCTTTGCTTTGCAAATGTTACTTTTCTAGTTATACTATCAGGAGCAAGTACATGTTGTTACCTGGACGTATTTGGCAATGATGCGCAGGAGGTCAGCATTCATCTGGTGGATCGGGGCAGTGCCGAGGTCAACCTGGTGCAGCAGACTGTAGAGCAGCTGCAGCACGGCCTGCTGGGTACCCATCATGCCCTTCTCCAGGATCTCCACCAGGAAGGTGAGCAGAGTGAGGCTGATGTCGGAGTACGCGTCGTGGAGGTACTTACACACGGCAGACACCCACGACTTACAGGGCTTCCCGAAGGTGTGGTTACTGTACAGGCTCATGATGTGCGCAAGGTTGTGCAGCTTTTTACTCTTCTCTAAACAAACCTGAGGAAAACAAACAAACAAACAAACACTCAAGTAAACAACCACTCAAGATGCAAGCCAGGCTATGCAGCATCTTAAGGAGGCCATATATATCAGAGCACTTCAGCCTTCACTTAATAGAGATGGTGGACGATATAAACTCTCTGGCACTTTTGATCAATTGCTTACGACACGTATCAGTAAAATCTCGTGTGAATAAGGTCACGTGTTTGTAAACCGTAATTCTCGCGAGATCACGTTGTGAAGTGATTGGTCATTAATTATCCTGATGAAGGCAACAGTGGTCGCTGAAAATTTGATCCCTGTACATATTGTGTGTTGGAATAAAGTTCAACCTTTTACTATGATTACTACCAACACAGATGAACTTTCATGATAATATGCAGCATCTTTCTCACTTCTGAGCATATATAATGAAAACAATCAAAGAATCGTTACTAATCGTTAACAAACAAAAACATCTTACACATGTGGTAAACTTAAATGGGACAGTATAGTTTTACTCAAGTCTCACCTCTGCAATGTTCTCAGCACACTCAGTACAGAACTTGTCTGGACTGTCGTAGTGATTTATCAGGTATGGCATCAGTGCAAGGACATTCAGGGGAAAACCTGGATAAATATATCAACTTGTTAAACCTGTTAAACACATGGGAGATACTAGCAACAAACAGAACACTCTGGAGACAGGAAGTTAAGTCCTGCTGAGCGCAACATTTGTCGTTATGCACATACAGTACCATCTATATAGCACCCTGTATAGGTACGATTTGGGGGTATTTCTCGCAGAAAACGCATCACACCGCAGCGAAACGCAACGAATGCGGAAGTAACAATGCCACTGCAGGGCAAAAATATTTGGGGGTCTATGATCTAATTAAGACATGAAATTATTGAAAAATATTGTGCCAGGAATGTCAGCAGGACAAGGGTTAAGAAGGGCTTACATCGGGGAAGAGAAACAGAGACTCGCATCAGAACTGAGACACTTTAAGTGCGAAATCAAGAATAAGTACGTGGTGTAGATGAAGTACAATGTACTTTCATGGTCTTGTAAGACCGGCGAAATGCCTACTTCCCCTGTTAAACCACATGATGCTGACATAACCAACTAGCATTACCAATTTTGTAGTCTAGATACAGTAGAGGACGATGTACATTTCACTATAGATTGTCCTTTATCTGACAGTGATAGACGCATACTCTTCGGACATGTTTTAAGTAAATTTCCCCACTTCGGATTCTTAACAAGTAAAGAAAAATTTATATTCCTGTTAACCTTTGATAAACCAAATCTAACTAGACACATACAGCATCTTACATTTATACAATTACTAAGAAGCGAGAAGAAGTTGAAAAGACTAGAATACATTAGACATTTTATATATACATGTGCATGTAATAGTTATATGTATATTTACATGAATATGTATTCAAATATGTATAATGTGACCTGTGCTTAGCCCAGTGGGGCAAAAATGTACAATAAAGGTCTTCATTCATTACTGGGAACTTGGCATGAGGTCTGAGGTGTACGGGATGTAATCAACCATCAACAAATATGAAGAAAATATTGCAACATATATGATCCATGTTTTCACCTGCTGCCTCAGAGGGGTCAACCACCGGCAGGGTGGAGAAGACGGTCAGTTTGGCCACCATCTGGAGGGTCAGCTCAGATGTCAGCGGGGAGGTGAAGCCCTGGAGATGGTAAACATAAACAGTAAACACAAACATGAACAAAAACAGAAACACAATCCAGAAAAACACAGAAAAGTACACGGTCAGGTAATGTAAGAGCACCCCAGAGTGCTTATGTTTGAATGTGTTTTGTTTGTTTGTTTGTTTGTTTCTTTGTTTGTTTGTTTGTACCTTGAAGAGCAGCATCTGCATGCCAGGGAAGTTGGTCCACTTGAGTTTGTTCCTGACCCTGTTGACCTCGTCCACACAGTCTGACCTGTCCAGGGGCAGCTCACTCAGCAGCTGCAGCACAAGGACACAAACAGACACAAATGTTGATTATCTATTCTATTGCCTTGTCATAAATAGCACTCGTGTACTTGTACATATAGTATTGGTAAGATGTTCACAGCCTTCTTTGCAGCTAGTGGCATACATGTATATAGGCCTGGTAGCACGTTGGCAGAACGTACTGTGCCTGCTGCGCAAAACCCTGACTTTTCATGGTTTTCGTTGGATGTTTGCATGGTCGACATTGCATCAGAATTTTGCCTGTTGCAGACGATATCTTTTCCAACATAAAATTTGGAAACTACTGTCAGAATGCTAACCTTACATGTGCAAATACAACCTTTGATGAGACGTTCTGCCAAAGTGCCATGTAAAATACATTACCGGTTTCGCGCAGGTGCAGGTGCAGTGTTCTGATGACATGCTAGGCCTGGTGTCTTAATACACAGACTATAGTCACCCCAGTCCTGACTCACCCTGTCCATAAGTTTGAGTGCCAGTAGGAACTCGTGATCGTAGTCTGACTCCAGCAGGGACACACAGACCCAGAACAGCTGACTCAGCAGGTTGTGTCGTGTGTCGAACTTCTCTGCAGCAGACTTCATGGACTGTGTGCTGCGGGAGCGCGGGAGTGTGTTGTAGCTCTGTGTGCGCGTCTCCACTAACATACGGTTGCTGTGATGATCTGAAACAACGACATGGACGGAGAGGGCAACCGTTATGTTTTGGAGACATCCTGAATAAGAAGTGTCAAAACAATAGGGCTACCTCCAAAATTTTCTTGAGTTTCAAAAAAGTAAACAACAAATTCTACCAAAGGCTGCTCAAAGTTAATGCTGTACATGGCATCCCATTTACTTGATTAAGGACAAAATCTAAAGGCCTATATAAGTGCAAAACAAAAAGCTACCTTCTTTTCTGACTTTTCTTGGTGGGGCTGACAAAATTCTATGGACTCTGTAAACTCAAGTTCAAACCAGCTACAGTAACTAATGTGTTCAAACCACCTGCAATATGCTATGGAACCTACCAGTCTTTTCAATAGGTGAAGCCAGGTGCAACTTGACCTTTGACATGGATGCGGAGCGATGGTGTGTGTACGCGGCGCTGTTTGGCCGTGCCGGGATGCTGCACATACTGGTCCGGTGCAGGTTGGGTGTAGAGTGCAGGCTAGAGATGGACTCCGAGCTGGCGCGCAGACGGTCGTGAGCGGCGTAGTCTGGCGGCGATGTCTCTGGCGCGATCTTGTCGAGCAGGGACTCTAGCGTCAGGAGGATTTCTGTGACGTAACCCTGCATGTCCTCCCCCGGGTCGGCCACGGTCTCCACCAACCGCGCCAGGATGTCGCACAGGAGGTTAGAGGTCACGGAGACCTGGAGCGCTCGGAACATCTGCAGACAAGGTCAGGGTCAAGGTCAACATTACTGCATTTTAAACAGAAGGAGCTGCCAGCATAAAGTCATTACAAGTGCATTATTTTCAAACTGCTCCATGTAACAAAACAAGAATTCGGAAGTTCTGCTGCAGTATCAAGGTCAGCCACCAAGAGGCCCATATTTGACCTTGACCTTTGTCTTCCTACGACCTACCAACATACCAAATGTCATCACAATCCATAAAGGCGTTCTGACTACAAATGTGTGGAAACACACACAAACACACAGACACACACCAAAAACAATACTTCCATTTTTCATGGAGGTAATAAACAAACAAACATCCCACCTGGAAGGACCTGCCGGCGTAGTGTCGTGAGGAGCAGGACAGCGCCATGTGAAGTGCGATCTGACCCCAGCGCTCCTGCAGGTGAGATCCGGGCAGGGATTCGCTGAAGATCCTGACGACGTGGCGCAGGAACGTGCACATCTGCTCGGCACTGCGGATGGTGAACTGGCGAGACGTCAGGTCCTCATAGCACCACAGGGGCCGGCACGATCTGGGAGGGGTGAAAAATGGTGTTTTGTTCTTTATCACTGACAGTTTCTTTTTATAAGCCCCAGGGAAAAATGAGGCAATACATTATGATCATGGAACAGTGAGCATTATCACTGCAAAATAAGCCAAATGTTTCTTTCAGTCTCTCATAGATTTGGAGCTTTATACATGATTGCATAATGGGGAAGAATGCAGCCCTACAAATTAAAAGAAAACTTATCAGAAAAAGGCATTCCTCTCAACTTGTGAAAAGAGCATGTGCATTCCTATCCACCTGTAAATATCCTGGTCAATCATTGTACATCTTGAATGTTTACCTGTGTTGGTAGACATTAATTAATTAATAATTAGTAAGTTTCAACTACACATGTAAGTCCAATTTCTTGTGCTGGAAATTACAGTTTAAACTTGCTTAATAACTACTTTTCTAACTTTTGGTGTTGTTTGATTGATGAGTCACAATTTAGAGTTAAATAAACTTGAGATCAATGCTACCACTGTACAAGGGTGCCAAACTCAATGTACCTTGTGGTGATGAATTCAATGAGAGCCTTGGCACTTTCGTCCACCTCCGAGAGCGTGTTGACGTCCACCATGTTGGAGTCAGCGACCGGTGGGGGTGTGGCGCTGCGGCCGCTGATGACACTGGAGGACGGGCTGCTGCTGCTCATCCCGGAGTCTGACGCCGGCGTGGGGAGGGCCGAGTCACCAACCTGGGGGTCTGCTGTAACACGACAGGATGTTTAGTTGAGTGTGCCTGTGCTAAAACATTACCCAACACATCTAGAGAGACGTTCCATGTACTTATGTCATGTCCAGACACATTTTCTGTATATATAGGTCAATACATTTATAATGCAATGCAAAAAAGACATCTTAGAATATCTGTATAAGTAGAGTCACTGAATACTTTATCAACTACATGTATATAGTGTGGCGTTTTCGTAGCATTTATAGTTATGTAGAATTTTAACATTCCTGGCAAGTAACTTAGTCTACACTCTGTTTAGTAACCATAGAACATGTTTTGTATAATTACACATGTACAACTGATCACTGTACCCTTCATGTGTTTAACGTAATATAGAATGTACATGTAGAGTTGAAATATTCTCTAGCCAGTAGTTCTTTATAATACTCTGTCAGATACAATGTCCGTTGACCATATATATAGCATTATGTTAGACACATACCAACTAGTAATCTTATTATTTGCCATACATTGTACCCGTGACAATCGTTGTGCAATAAACTTTGACTTTGACTCTGTATTCAGTCTTCATGTAGTGTTAAATTGTTTAATGATATGGGTATGATTTATCAAATACGCAAATTGTACAATAAGACATAATAAATTAGCCAATGGTTACCAATGGCTACAAGTTCTTGGATGTTTTCACAAATAAACCATTTGATTGATCGATCGATCAATTGATTGATTGATTGATTGATTGATTGGTTGATTGATTGATCGATCGATTGACTGATTGATTGATTGTTTGTACTGATAGCAGTCAGGAATATTTTTCTCATACACAGGTTTGGCCATGTAAGAAATTAGGACTTTTGCATTCACGATGAACCAAAATTTTGCCCAAATATGTCATCTTTCACGGACAGAAATCATAAGCATGCACACCAAGGCATGTAAAGATATATTGAGATATCATTGAATTAAGCTTAGTCTTCCAGCAAAATTTGCTGTGAAAATGCAGGAAATAGCATTTCAGAGGGTCAAGATTTCAAAATTGTTCTGGGGAAAGATGCCTAGGGTTGTCATGCTTCCGGTGCCACAACTCACACCTTCGACTCTCAACTGAAGATGTTTTCTGTTCAGCAAAATTGAGATGACAGAAACAAAAGTTCATGAGGCTGGCTAGAACACTGATTTGTATTTATTTACTGGTACATGCTATAACCTCAGCATCATGATAAACAGATATAAACAAACAAGTAAAATCTGAGATTTTATACCTCTGGGCTTTTTATTGTGCCCCCGTATTGACACTTCCGGGTTCAATCCAAGTCAAAAAACACCATAAATCCACAAAGGAATATCATATTTTCACCAAAGGTTCTTGTTTCAATTGTGCATATTTTCACTGAATCTGGCTATGCAGCCCTGGAAAACAGCGTTTTGGTGCATATTTTTAAACAAAGAATGTATCGAGACCGGACACCCCTCTGTGCGAAAGGTCATACAAGTGGACCCGACCTATAATACTTTAAACACACCAAAGGTCAACGGTTGCGACCATTTTCACGATCAAAGGGGTGTTTTGGGGCCACCAAAAGGCACTATTTTCCCGCCCGAAAACACAATAAAAACAAAAGAACGTGCATCATCTACAGCCCAATAGCAAAACATATACCAAGTCGCAAAAAAATCCGTCCACCCAAACGCGAGAAACAGCTGCGAACATGCAAATCTAAATCTCTTACAAAGCCCTTCCGCGGAAGGATGTCTCCTTCCCCGGAGGCAAGTATCTACATTTTGTAGAAGACATCAACAGTCCAGTTTTTTCCTGCCCACCTATGAAGTTGTAGTCCTTGGCCAGCGGAGGCAGGACGGAGAGACAGTGGATCTGACTGAGGATGCGGTTGGTCAGCAGAGTCCGTGCCACACACAGGTAGTCGTTGTGAGAGGACAGCACGATCAGCAGGTTCAGCAGTAACTTCTTACAGTGCTCGTGGACCATGGAGCGGGAGTGGTCTAATCCTGTAGGAAGATCAATGCCTTTAGCTAATACTAATCTAAAAATAATCTTATGAAATAAAGACTAAGCTTTAACTTCCAACACTTAGATTACAGAAGTGGGACTTACCCAAAGAAATCTAAGTGTTGGAAGTTAAAGCTTGGTCTTTATTTCATGATGACTTGTACCAACACAGATGAACTTTCATGCTAAATAATCTTCTTTACAGAGAGATTATCTATTCACAGAAGTCTAGCATTACAATATTATGGTTTTAGAGTCATCAAGTGCATCACACATCTGACAAACGTTGACAAGATCGATTGAAAAATCGAGTTTACTTCTTGTGTTGGAACAAAGCTTGAACTCTTTAACTATAGATTCTACCAACACAGATTAGCTTTCATTTGAACATGGTTTTAATGTACTTAGAATAGTGTTATAGAATCGTTATTAGTTAACTTTCCATGTCACACTCCACTGTAATGGTTTGTCTTTGTCAACAGGGCTAGCCCACTGGCTAATTAGGCTGTCCTGGCTGTGTGTGTACATGTGTTGAACAGCCAAACCAACAGCCATCAAACAGGCACATGTAGATACTGAAGTCTTACCCAGGAACAGTGTGTGCAGCATGAGTGGTAGGTGGACTGTCCACTCCACCTGGACTCTGTCCAGCACCAGTTCAGCCAGCAGTACCACACCCAGGTTACACCTGAAACCAGCCATTCAATCAAACATGTCATAAAGCTTTAACACAACTTTCTCCAAGATTTAGTAAAAATTATTTTTGAAAAAATAGTGACAGTAATTATTCTATTAAAAGTAAGGACTCTACCTTGATCAAATGATTGACACCATAGTCTATATTTGTACTGGCCTGCTTCAGTATACGTGTACATGTATTCTAATATCATAATGTTAGAAACAATTTCCCTCCTTTAATAATATTATTGACTGTATTGCCCTGAAACATTGGCAAAGGACATTTTGTACAGAACTGTAATATAACAATACTCCCCCCCCCCCCTTCAACTTAAGGTGTCGGTGTCTGTGCAATGTGTATTTTCAAACTAGTATGATTATCAACACAACACATTACCTGCTGAGTCCGACTGGCACTGTAGCCGTTTCCCGTAGGTACTCGGACAGCGGGCAGTAGTACCCGCCGTTCTCCGGCATGGGGAGGGGCAGAGGACCACCGCCGCCATCGAACAGGGACTTCCACTGGGCGTACGTGTTCCCTACTGAAGAGTATGTATTGATTTAAATCAACATGCCTTTGTTCCACTAAGTATTGAGTGAGATCTCTTCCTTTGTAGTCATTTATTTATAATCATTTAATTGAAAGGGATCATATTTTGTTGAGTGTATATTGATTTATCTGTTATTTATATAATAGAGATAATATTTAGTATGTTTGTAAGTGTTGGGAACACAAAGGTGAACTTTGACTAATCTGAGCATTCCTTTTCAGGGAGGCCCTGTCTAGGAGTACATGGGGGCCTGCATGCCCATTTTCGTAAGGCATAATCAGGCCTTTTTAGTCTTCGTAATCTGTAGGCAGCCTCCTGAAAAATCAACGTAATTCGTAATAGTACATTAGCCGCAAAGCATAAAGCCGTAATCAGCTCTGAGAATTTAACATAATTCGTGATCGGCGGCGAAAATTTTGCATTATTTGTAATCGCTCCCACCACCCCCCACGCAGGCCCTCATACATTGAGATATGAGGACTGTACTCCGTAGGAATTTCAGAACAAACCAGCTACTGTTGCCTGACCTTGTTCCTTACTCTTCTCAGCCTCTGCCATCGGTTGCTGTCTCATCATGGCCTCATGGGAAGCGGCAGACATGCAGGATGATATGGAACCCTGGGACGCCGTACTGCGGTGTGAGCTCACCGAATCCGACCTGCTCACACTAACAAACAAACAAAAACTAATCAACAAAACAGAAATCAAGCATAACAAGTAAATCAATCATACTGTGTGTTGTAATACAACTTACTGTAGTATCATGTTTTGCTTTAACCAAATAAAACATTATGTATCATGGCCCTCAAATATGTGCATTGAATTTGAAATAGTATGGATCACCCCTGTCAAAAACATATTAAAATGCAAATTCCTACTAATCCTAGTACAAGTTCATGATGCCAACTACCGTATGGTAACAGCCTCTGGCATATCCTACATGTGCCTTGATAGCCATATTCATTCATTTTCTAATATTTGATATATAAGGCTGTGTAGACCAATCAAAAGCCTTGATTCCTATCGCTTCGCTCACTCAATGGTTTATTAGGTGGTCACTGGCCAAGCATTATGTTACTGTTAACACTTAGGGCAGGTCATTGTCAAATCAATTATTTGATAATTATACATTATCAAATAGCAAGGCTGTATAGACCAATCAAAAGCCTTGATTCCAATTGCTTTGCTCACTCGGTGGTTTATTTGGTGGTCACTGGCAAGGCATTATCGTCACTGTTAACAGTTAGGGCAGGTCATTAACCCCTAAATATCAAGTAATCTCCTACCCTGTTGCCTCCTCAGTTTTGTGCATGGAGTGTGAAGAGAACCGCCGGCTGGGCGTGTGGCTCTCCGCCCCGCTCAGCTCTCCGTGGGGCAGCTCGCCGGGACTCTCCATGCCGGCAGAACCCGTGCTCGCCGACGACGTCTTCCGACTGCAGCTCAAGCGGTAGTACGGGGGCTCCGATATCCGCTCTGCAACCGCGTTCACTATCTCCACTGACTGTAGCAGAGGGTGGAAACATTACATTTTAACTAGTCTCATAACCAAATCTTTTCTAATTTATTTCTAACTCAGGCAATTACAAATTAAAGTTTCAATTGTGGGGTCACGTGGCACAACGGCAGAGTGCACGACTCAGAACCAAGAAGTCCTGGGTTTGAGTCCTGACATGCCACCGATCTTGAGCCCCTGGGACTTTCCCCACGTAAGTCAAGTGTAAATGAGTATTGTCTGTCCTGCATTTGTTTCTATGTGTGGGACACAACACCAGCAACAGCTGCCTGTATTCCATGTGTATTCTGCTGTAAGTTGCAATTTTAATAAATCAACTCAAATCAATCAATAAAATCAAATTGTATTTTTCTTTGACCTAAGAGTTACCATGTGTAATCATAGTATACAGCCATCAACTAATCTGAACTTGACTCAAACTCCTTACTCCTAACCTTTGACACCCATAATGTCTGAACTATAACCCCTAACCTCTGAACCCTGACATTTAACCCTGCCCCACCTGTAGCTCGTTCATCAGCTCCTCCACCATCTGGTCTGGTTTGGCACGGCACAGGTAGATCACCGCTCTTTTAACCTGGTGATGGGGCATATTCAGCGATTAGGCCACAGCAATTACAAATGTTTGGTTGAACTTTTTGGACTTTTCTACCAAGTCAATGCCACAGGCAGCAAAAAGAAAAAAGAAACAGGCATCCTGTGATAGACCCAAATACTGATTACGACATGAGCTACTGGTTAACATTTCAAACACTTGATTTCAGACTGTAGACACATTGATACATAGAAAAACAGACAATTTGGAAGTCAAGGACTTTCTCCAGCTGTTGGCGGCAAAATTTGAGCCTTTCATGGTAGATTCATTAAAAAAACTAGTGTATGGTTCAATTGCTGGTGCCAAAATATGAGCCTTTCAAGATAGATTGATGATTGTGATTACATGATTGTGTAATTATTTTTTTCTCCAAAGCAGAATAACAGTATTTTTAAGTTGAAGCATATTTTCTTCTGTGTTCAACTTACATAAGGTAGCAGGTCCGGCTGTGTAGTGATCCCGGCCATGTTAATGAGATACTCCAGGATAACGTGCAGGTTGTTGGGCCAGTGTTGGACCATCGTCGCCCAGAACTGTTCCACAGCACGCGGGTGTTCATCCCCATACTGCACAACAAACAAACAAGTCAACAAAAAAACAAGAGTTTTTTAACATCCAGAAAACACAATCTTTGTGACCGAATGATTAACAGTTTCACAAGCATTCAGTCTCACTGGGTATAAAAATCTTGGACACAGAACCGGCCTTTTTTGCACGAGAGGTTAGAGTCCATCTACATCAGGGCATTACCATCCCTCAACAGAGACGGGGGGCGCCACAGACTTTCTGCAACCTATGATCCATTGTTCACGGAATACATAGCCGGCTCTCCAAATTTAGCGTTAATCGTTGTCAGGAAACCCCCATGCAGGCCCTCTCGTATCCCCTACCTTAGCAGTGATGTACAGCAGGTTGTTGAGGACCATGTTGGTGGCCTGCACCGACCCCCACCCTCCCCACGCAGCACCCGGTCCCCGCGCCGGTCCTGGCTCGACACCGTCGACGCCGGCGAGAAGAACTCGTCCACCAGCTCCAGGTTCTGTAGCCATGGCAACAGGTACTCCATCATGACCTGTCGACCCTCGGGGTGGGCGCGGTGGAGGCGATGGCTGATCTCTGCAGGGAAGAAGGAGATGGAATTTCAAAAGTTATTGGACTAACCTTAAACATTGACCTTAAACCATTGATAGGATGAACTATGACATGAGAATATAGGCAAGGTGAACTATGACATGAAAACATTGGATAGGATGAAAAATTGACCTGAGAACATTGGCAGGATGAACTATGACCTTAGAACATTAGCTAGGGTGAACTATGACCTGAGAACATTGGCTAGGGTGAACTATGACCTGAGAACATTGGCAGGGTGAACTATGACCTGAGAACATTGGACAGGTGAACTATGACCTGTGAACATAGGCTAAGGTGAACTATGACCTATGAATATTGGGTAGGGTGAACCATGACCTGAGAACATTGGCAGGGTGAACTATGACCTGAGACACTGGCTAGGGTGAAGTATGACCAGAGAACATTGGCAGGATGAACTATGACCTTAGAACATTGGATAGGATGAACTTTGACCTGAGAACATTGGCAGGATGAACTATGACCTTAGAACATAGGCAGTGTGAACTATGACCTGAGAAAATTGAATAGGATGGACTTTGACCTGAGAACACTGGCTAGGGTGAACTATGACCTGAGAACATTGGTTATGGTGAACTATGACCTGAGAACACTGACAGGGTGAACTATGACCTGAGAACATTGGATAGGTGAAATATGACCTGAGAACATTGGCTAGGGTGAACTTGTCTATGATCTAAGTATATTGACCTGATAACATTGACAGGGTGAACTATGACCTGAGCATATTGACAGGGTGAACTTTAACCTGAGAACATTAGCTGACTGAACTTTGACCTGACTATATAGGAAGAGTGAACTCTGACCTGAGAACATGGGTATGGTGAACTCCGGGTGTTGTCTGGAGAGCTCCTGGGACAGAAACATCTGGGACTTGGTGAAGGTCGCTGGGAGATGGGAGCCAGTCAAGGTCACAGTGCTGCCCGACAGGTCCTCTGGGTTGTCAGGCTCACCGAAGAACCGGTTATCCAAAACCTGCAGCAGCTGGAGCGCCATGTCCCGGATATCGTTACAGGGGTCGCCGGTCTTAAACAGGGTGACGTTCAGGACGGCAACCATATCACATGGGTAGTCCCTGCAAGGTCAACACAAGAACCTCAAGGTCAAAGATCGGGATGTTCGGGATGACCCTAACGTGACATAACGTGGATAGTCTCTGCAAGATCACTTATTATATATGATAAACAAAACAAAGGTTAAAGTCAAAGTAAATGAATACCACCCCTGGACTGTTATGCAGCATGACCAAGGGCCTACATGTACTATAATTCTAACTGGAAGACATTTTAAAAGACTGCCAACTTACAACTGTACCTAAAATCAAACACAGTCTAACAGTATCCATTAAGTAGTCAAGTTCTTCTGCCAATAAAGACCAGTTCAAATGACAAGATACACTTAAACCGCAACCTGGGCTGCCAATGACTACCCCCAATATACAACACACTCGTCCAGTCACGTGACCTTTGCTGACTTTTTGCCCCCTGGGTCACGTGACTGCCTTCGTCAGTAGCTGAAGAAAGATGGTGGATGCCGTCTGAAAGCTTCTACGCTTTACAGAACTTTAGTAAAAGTTTAATCCTTCCTTGTATTATAGACTTATGTTAGCAAGATATTGCTCCTGACCTCTCACACAGCACAGCTGCCAGCGCGTGGAAGCACCCGGCAGCGACCAATCGTGACCCCGTGTAGCAGCGGTCCACGGCCCAGTTCAGCACGGTCGGCACCTCTGGGTTCAAGGTCAACAGAAGGACAACAGTCTCCCTCCCCAGCTGGTGAACCTGCAACAGAGAAACCGGTATCAAAAATGGCTCTCCCCCCGAAGCAACAGTAATGGGAGGGGTCCTAATTCCGACCTATGTTCCATGCAAACGCACATACCTTTGGTAATAGTTTATCTGCGCAACATGAGATATAATATTGACAGATACAGATCACACCGATTAAAGTTGCACAGCTGTGTATTTCACTTCAGTGAAGCGCCTTGCACCCAAGCATAATGGTTGACCAAACGTACAGCAGGTTTTTGGTCATTTTGCTGGTGGAACGTTCTATCGCAAAAGGGGTGCCCTAATTCTGACCTACTGTTTAACACAGGTCAATCTGAGAAGAGAGTTTAGAAATTATGATACACAAATCATGACTAAAACAATCTACAACTGATTTTCTGTCCCAAACAAGTCCACTTTTTGCGATCACGTGACTTGCTCCAAAGCGGCTGTTTCAAAAGCAAAACTGCATTTTTGACACGCTGGTCAACCCCGAACAAGCATCAAATTCAAACAGATTTCACTCGTCTGTTGTCGGAATGTACGAACTAACACAAACTTTGTGAGATTACCGATATCAAAACAAAAACTTTGTCCATTCTTGTGGTTATTTTCAGGTACGTGCTCCCATGCATAACGCCGCAACAAGGATTTTTCAAACTAGTATGGAATTAGGGATAGGTCGGAATTAGGGCACCCCCCGTTAACTGTTTCTAGACTCAGTGTTCTAACGTTTTGTCCAAACACATGTGAACGTACCACCAGATTTGTGCCTCTGTCAGATGTGTCTTTATTACTTCACCAAAGAAGGAAGGGAAGTATTGTTTTGGGCTTGTCTGCATGTCTATTTGTCTGTCTGGGTTTCTGACTACAAAGCAGTATGGGTGCCTCATTGTACATTGTGGGCTCTGACACGAGAAAGGGGTGAACTAGACCTAACTACATGTAAAGCTTCGGTCACAACCCGCTGTACGTGCTTCTGCGTGCTGTCTACGTGCAGGGCATCCGTGCGTGGTGAGTACCGCCTCCGTACGGAATCCTACGGATTTGGGAGCACGCAGACACGCCGTAGAACTTTAAGTTTATGTGAAACTTTTTCTGCGTGCAGTCTACGAATTCACCACCCGTGCGTGCGAGTACGGGCGACGCGCGTGCCCCGTACGTACCGTACGAAAGACGCACTTGTGAGTACGGCCTCCTTACGGTAAAGTTGCTATCGCACAGAGATCGTACGTTGTAAGCACATACAACTCACCACTTTCGCAACGTACGATGCACGCAACCGCTCACAGCCAGACGTGGCGTGCAGACCACACTCCTACACCTTGCGAAACTGTGCGAGTGACGTGCGTCGATGCCACTCCTTCCCGACATTTTCAGAAAAAACGTAGTAGACGTTGCCTCCCAAAAAACGTATGGACAAAAAGCACGTACGGCGGGTTGTGACCGAGGCTTTACTAACCATCCTAGTTAACTAGTGACCTTAACTCACCCTGTCATCCTGACAGTCCAGTATGGAGTCCAGCCAGTTGTACAGGTACCCATCTTGTGACAGCGCAGTGCTGTCAAACACCGGCCCTGAGCACAGCACTGCTGACATAGCCTACAGGGAACAGCAAGGCTGTGGTCAATACCTGGTTTGGTAACAACTTTGAGACTTTCAATCGTCATTTGCTGATTGTGTTTTTTTTAATGCAGGCTTGTTTGGCAAAGCAAAGGAAATCAGTGATCAGTGAAGGATTTTTTTTGGAAGAACCAGATTTTTCAAGATTTGACAAAAAGGAAAAGAAATTTACCTACATTAAATACCAGCTCACATGTGCATAGTTATTTTTTTATTAGTGGCAATCGAAGGACAGAGAGTTTGTGCAGTATATAGTATGAAGAGCTTTGAAGTACAAGCCTGCTTTTTTTTAAACACGTACAAAGAACAATGAGATTTTATTGGTAAAAAATCAAAAGAAAAGACTTTGTATTACAAGAGCCCATTACGTTTTCCTTTACCAAATGTTTAATACAGTGTACTCTGCAGTTTTTATGTGCTGTTAAACTTTGTCAGTGCAATACACTTCAAGGGTTTCAGATACAAATATTACATGTCTGGTATACATGTAGCACAACTGTCTTCTTCCTCCATAGTAGTGCTGCATACTGGTTCACTGGACTTGGATCCGGACTTGTAAGAATGTTTAGGTTCAAGTCCAAAAAAAACTAAAAGTCAAGAACCGAGTCCAGACTTAATACCATAAAAGACCATTTCACATACCCCTTTTCTTTCCAAACCACCTAAAACCTTCTGTAGATTGCAAAATCTTTGCTGCAAAATGAAGAAAACATTGCCATCGGGCATCGTCAAGTACCGGCCTCCATGTTATGTGACCAAAGTTTCACCTGGACAACATTGCAAGGTTGCCAACATGCAATTTTGTATATGCCATGGGTTTAGGTCCGGACTTACAAGTCCGGAACTGAACCTAAACCTCTGGACTTGAATCCGGACCTGAACCTAAAATTGGGTTTAGGTATGCAGCACTACTCCATAGAAATAAAATGAAGCTTGAGATGAAGCTTTTTCTGTAGCTGATAGTGCAGCCTGTTTTTATACCCAAGCACACCGGGTCACCCCTACCCTTCTCGATAAGAGTGTTGTGTTTTTTTTTTACATTTGAAGGTCAGCATGAAGGTCAAATGCACTATCTCTACAGCTGAGCAGAGTCAGTACTGTACTGGACAGTTCGTTGCTGTATGAAGCAAAATGAATGACTATGTGATTGAAGGGGATACAAATTGTCCAAGTTATGAAGTTTATTTTGTCTTCAGCCACCCTGAAACCTAGAAAGAGGGAAAGAGAAATAGTTCGTTGAGAAGCAGTCAAAAGCCGTAAGCAACTTCACATGCAGACAGTAGGACTGGGTATCAGGTATAAGTACCCTGCAAGGGTTCAAAACACTTTTTCTGTGTAATTACAAATTACTTGCACTGGAGCAGGTAACATTCAAAATTAACTGCACCAGAGAAGTTTTACCTGTACCACTCATTTCATTTTGCTTTTGAGTCCATCAGTTCTTCCTTTTCTATTGAATTTTTTCTCATGATATGCAGCAAATAGAGAAAATATTAAATCAATCGAATATTAGAAAATCCCAAAGTCAACACACTAAATGAATCTAAAAAAGGTTCCACAAAGGCCAAACATGAAAGAAATATACAAGACAGACTTTCCAAACATTTGATGGAAAAAAAGGTTACACGAATTTCACTTCAATCCAAGATCCTTCACCACACACCCACACCCCCAAAGGTTGGACATAGTGGACCAGCCCAGTCTTAGTTCTGCTTATGTTTAAGCCTCAAAACATCCTCCTGTAAGACATAAGAAAGCTCAAGTCATCCTGCAAAAGACAAGAAAGTGCGAGTGAGACAGCCAAGAAGCACCAAGCAGCACAACCACCAGGACACCGCCTGGTTACCTTGAACGACGTCTTCCCAAAGTCTTCAAGACTCTCGTCAAGACGACAGAACCGGCCTGGAGGAGCCCAGCTCGCTGTCAGGGGAAGGTCGTCGGGCAGTTTCTTAAGGTGCAAACAGATTAGTTTAATGTCAACATTCTTGGTGCTGCACGGCAGCTAGTGTACAAATTATATTCACTTTCAAGAAACAAGATCTCATTTGCATGGGTGGGACAGTACCCACCATCCTTCCTCAATGTCACCAGTATGCAAATGTCACTGATGTAATTTAATTACAATGTGATCAATCAGAGAATCTGAATTTTAAAACTTCTCAACATAACATAAGTTGCTATTGTAGTGTAGATGGATAGTTACCACTGCTCATTGTAGTTTAGCTCACCTGTAAAGACGACAGTTTGAGGTCCTTGTTTGCTTCCGTGCGGCCGGATAACGTGCTGTCGACAGCGCCGAATGTCACGCCGAACCGCCCACACCAGTTAGCCAGCAGGAAGAACAGGCTGTAGCGCAGCTCCTGGGTCAACAGGGGGTGCCGCTTGTCCACTACAGACAACAAAAGCCAAACTGTTACCACAGCAGCTATAAATACTGTTACAGTACCCAGGCTGTAATTCAGTACCTGGGTCACTAGAGGGCACTGCTGGTTCACAACAAAAATCAAACTATGACCACAGCAGGTAAGTACTGTAACAGCAACCAGGCTGTAATGCCGTGCCTGGGTCACTAGAGGGCACCGCTGGTTCACTACGGACAACAAAAGTCAAACTGTTACCACAGCAGCTAAGTACTGTAACAGTAACCAGGCTGTAATGCAGTGCCTGAGTCACTAGAGGGCACCGCTGGTTCACTAGGGATAATAAGTAGTAGTACTGTAGTACAGTAATAGTTAGCCATTGCAGCACAAGGCTGAATTCAGGTTCTCAACATGTCAGAGATTCTAAATACATCTTACACATTAAAAAGTGATTTTGTATCGTGGGTCAAAATTCTAAAACATTTAGCACTTAAAAGCTGCTGATGTCGATTCCACACCAATTTTGAAAGGTTGGTGCCAATTAACATGTACACTACCCTGTGTCTAAAGCTACGGTCACAACCCGCCATACGTGTTTCTGCGTGCTGTCTACATGCAAAAACGTGGGCAAACGTAGGGCATCCGTGCGTAGTGAGTACCACCTCCGTATGGAATCCTACGGATTTTGGAGCATGCAGACACGCCGTAGAACTTTAAGTGCATGTAAAACTTTTTCTACATGCGGTCTGCGGATTCACACTACGTGCCGTACGGAAGAAGCACGTGTGAGTACGGCCTCCTTACGGTAAAGTTGCAATCGCACAGAGATCGTACGTTGTAAGCACGTACAAATCACTTACCACTTGCGCAACGTACGGTGCACGCAACCGCTCATGGCCAGGCGTGGCGTGCAGACCAAACGCTTACACCTTGCGAAACTGTGTGAGTAACGTGCGAGTGACGTGCGTCAACACCACTCCTTCCCCACGTTTTCAGAAAAAACGTAGCAGACGTAGCCTCAAAAAAAACATACGGACAAAAAGCACATACGGCGGGTTGTGACCGCAGTTTAAGTCCCACTGACCTGGTATAGAGCGGATCATCTTGTGCACGAAGCCGCTGAAGTGCAGCCGGATGTCCTGCAGGGTGGGCGAGTCCTTGTCTCCCTCTGACTCCAGGAACATCCTCATGCCATCCATGTACTCCACAAACAGGGGCACCAGCATGTTACTGTCCTTGTCAAGTGTGCCTGCACAACTGTGCACAACAACAACATTTCAAGTTTCAAGTTTTATTAATAAAATCAGCCTTGCAGCCAGTTCACAAGTCAACCAAGCTGAATAACACTGATTTTTACAATTTTGTACATAGTAAATACAAATACACATTAACATGACAATACATATACAGACACGCAAACAAACATATTACAAAGCCACACATGGGCATTGAAGTAAAGTCCAGAGAGTCTTGAAAGTCATTACTGCAAGGACTCGTTGTACAGGCATATTGCCTTGGCATATTGCCTTGTGTAACAACTTAATTTCATCAAAGTAAAACGTTGAACTTTATTCCAACACACAATTACGCAGAGATCAAATTTTCAGCGACCATCTGTTTATTCATGATAATGAATGACCACTCACTTTACAACGTAATCTCGCGAGAGTTACGGTTACAAACAGTTCAGGAAAGTCCTTTTCTTCCTCATTGTTACAGTTTTTCTATCTATCAATGCGGTGGTTTGATTAAAAGTTAAAATTCACTGTTTAAATATTAACCCAGCCTTTTGTGTTGATTTCATGGCTCCTATCATAGCATTTTGGGCCATAATAGGATGCCCAGACCTGGTTTTTTTCCCCTGTCGCTGCATATTGTTTCTGAAAAAATTCGAGAACCAACAAATTAAATTGGTGTGGCCTAACTACAGAGATTGTAACCATGGCGACTGTAACCATGGTGACTAACCATGGCAACTGTAAGCATGGTGACTGTAACCATGGCAACTGTAAGCATGGCGACTGTAACCATGGCAACTGTAAGCATGGCGACTGTAAGCATGGCAACTGTAACCATGGCAACTGTAACCATGGTGACTGTAACCATGGCAACTGTAAGCATGGCGACTGTAACCATGGCAACTGTAAGCATGGTGACTGTAAGCATGGCAACTGTAAGCATGGCAACTGTAAGCATGGCAACTATAACCATGGCAACTGTAACCATGGTGACTGTAACCATGGCAACCTCACCTGTCTGAGAACACCCCGCTGTCTGCGACCAGCTCCAGGATCCTGCCCAGCTGGACCCTCAGACAGTCCCGTCTGCGCCGGCGACGCATGTTCTCCTGTTTCCTCTCCAGAGCCTCCTTAATCAGGGAGTGCATCTCCTCCATCAACTCTCTGGAACAGGAAACACCAGGGTCAACGTAAGGTAGCACGTCAGCAGAACGTACTGGGCCTGTGTGCAAAACCTGGATTTTTCTGTTTTTTTGTTTGATGTTTGGTCAACATTACATCAGAACTTTCACAGCTGCAGACAATTTCTTTTCCGATACAACATTTGAAAACTATAGACAGGATGTCATCCTTAAATATGTGAATACGGCCTTAAATTGTCTGTCCAGTATTCGTTTCTATGTGCGGGACACAACACCAGCAAGAGCTGCCTCTGTTCCATGTGTATTGCACTGTTGCAATTTCAATGAAATCAAAAATCAAATCAAATCAAAATCAAAAAAGTATGGTGATATACACAGATAAAAAGACCATTATAAAAATAATCCATAAGGAATTCTTAAGAAGTTACTTATAAGTTGGCCTATCACCTGAAGACGTGAGCGTTGGTTCTCCCCAGCCCGGCCACCACGGCCCCCTGTACATCCACACTCTCTGACCGGATCAGGGGCACCAGCAGTTTGAACAGATGACTGCCTGAGGGGGAGGGGGCACAAACTGTGGGGGGGGGGATAATAAGGTTGAATGACTGCCTATAATTGCAAATTTGCAGCAAAGTGATAATCAATGCAATCAAATGAACTTAGACAAATCAATAAAGATACTACTAGTATACATGAAATACGAGCACATGTACATGAAATACATGTACAAGGACTGCTTTTAGCTAAGTAAAAGACCTTACTGGTAACACTATCATCACTTTTACATGTGTATTGTCATTACAAGTTTACACAGAATGATTTTACTGCAGCTTAAATACACACAGCTACTGCATGCCATAGAGGATAATAAGGAAGCCATCATATAAACTGTATGATCCAAAGAAATAATGACTTCAGACAGATTATTCTCCTAGCAACTTCATATTGGTCCTGTCCCTGGTGCTGAACTTACCCTGGTAGTCTACCCTAAAACCAGACCCACACTAGCCTTAAAAAAAACTTCTACCTTGTTATCTGCCCGTTCTGATGACAGACTATCTGGTGAGGCACTGAGGATGTCCGGAGAGACCGGCCTGGCCACCAGCCCGCAGCTCGGCGGCGCGATACGACAGGCGAACACCAGGTAGTTCCGCCACAGCCCGATGTACTCGTCTGTCGCACACGGCATCTTCTTGGTGCCTCGCAGACTCCCGCCCTGGTTGGCTGGGTTGCTACAAGAAAACACACCAGGAAGAAATTAGGAATCTCAAATTTGGAATCTTACCCTTGTGACATACAGTGTACAAAATACTTTTTTGAACCAGGTTGCCCACTGGCAAAAATTAGGTTGCCCATCAGAATTTTAGGTTGCCCCACCTATAAGTTACTACTTTCCTCAAATTAAGTAATGTTACATGCATAAGCCTTTGACAATATTTCTGATGGTGCTAGTAATAGCCATTAATACCTAAAATTAAAAAGCAACTGCAAAATGTCTCCCGGATGCAGTGGTGCAAGCCAAGTGGGCATGATTTTTTTTTGGGGGGGGGGGGCATTCTTAAAATTCAGGTAGCACACTGGGCTACCTAGGTTCAAAAATAGGTTCCCCCAAGTAAAATTTGGTTGCCCGGGGCAACTGGGCAACCAGGTATTTTGCACACTGGACATATCTAGAGACAGACTTGAACATATCTTAACATGCAATGATTCCCACAATGCAAAAATATGCAAATATATAAAAGACTGCTTTGTTATTAGAAAAAATACCGAATCTCGTGATTAGCCCCACTCAATTGTAACACTTTATCAACGACTTGTGCAAGCTCTTGTTGTGTAATTTACCATTTATTAGGTTTTATTCTATATTAGGTCTTATTCAATACTTGTTTGTACTTTGCCATACATTGTACCATGTGCAATTGTCGTGCAAAGTTCTTCTTCTATATCATCATGCTACATATTTTGACCAGATACTGTAAATTCATTTCTTGTTCCAAGGACTTAATTTCACAGTAAAGAAGTCTTCAGGGTTGAAGAATTCTGTAATATAGTAATGGAATGCAATGGAAATTCATATGTGTGGTGTCATAACTGAGATCACCACAATAAAAAAAAACACCACAAACATTTCAACATCTGCAGCAGTTCAAAATGCACCGGTACTAGCCCAGAAGAGAACAAGAAATAGCCACGCCTTCAAGTACCAGAGTTATCAACCAAGGATTGAGGTGTTCAGGAATTCATTCTTTCTTAGAACTATCGCAGAGTGGAACTCACTGTCACCAAGTACAGTAGGGGCAAGGTCATCAGATAGCTTTAAACAATATCTAGAGTTAGAAGTTCAAGGGTTAGGTGTAACAATTCGATCGGTGTAATATAGCCAGCTGCCGCCGCGCCGCGTGCCTGCGAAGCTGGTGTGTTACACCGAAAGGCGGTTATACCGGCTATACAGATACAGATACTCACTTTGGGTCGATGTGTGAGAACAGCGTTGTCAGGCGACAGTAGCTGTCAGGCCAGGCGAAACTGACAGCAGCTGGACAGTGCAGCGGGAGGTTCTTGTACCACAGGAACCCCGCCAGACACAGCGACCAGGGGTCGTACACGTACGCGCTCCACGGCGGGGGAACAACCACCTTAGGGTGGGGCTCGCCGACCGTGTCGTGTACGCCACCGATCCACGCTTGTCTGTCAGCCAACCACTGAAGGTCTATGGTGGGTGTGGCAAGGACAGCAGCCTGGATTAGACATTGAAACAGTTCATGGGTTATCTAAGAAAAAATTCAGTTAAGGACATGGACATGGCTGCTTGTCACACCAAGATCATAGATAACACAATAACTATCTTCTTACTGGTCCTGTCTCTGGTGCTTAACTTACATTCACACTGACTATCCTCTTAGTGACTTCACACTGGTCCTGTCCCTGGTGCTGAACTTACATTCACACTGACTATCCTCCTAGTGACTTCACACTGGTCCTGTCCCTGAACTTACATTCACACTGACTATCCTCCTAGTGACTTCACACTGGTCCTGTCCCTGGTGCTGTAATTACATGCACACTGACTATCTTCCTAATGATTGGTCCACAGCACTTAACTTCTATAGTGTATATTGTAGTTAAATCATTTATTTATTTGTTTGTTTGTTGTACCTTCTCTGCTGCTGCCAGGAATGGTAAACAAGTCTCCACCACTGCAGGACAGATCCTGTCCATCACGTCTATACAGGTCTCATCTTCTGTCTGTAGAAACATCAGGTAAACGCCATTTCAAGTCAGGCATTTCTACAGTATTGACCTCAACAACAAGACATTGCTACACTGTTAAAGCTACTGTCATCAGAGATCATCAAGAATATCTATCAAAATTGATTTAAACATTGATTTCTATCAACAGACAAAGTGTTGATCATTTGGAGAAAAAATGCAGTAAATGCATATTAAGAATCATCATTCAAAAGTGAGTTAAAACTAGTTCTTTACAATGTACATTGAGTATCCCTATAGTAAAAGGTACATTTAGATTGGACATCCCTATTGCATGAGGTACATGTACAAAACATCACTAAGGCCACACCAATTTAATTTCTTGTTTAACGGATTCGCCTGCTTCATTTTTTTCTGATTTGCAAATAAAAATAAAAATTCAGAATCAACTGCGAAATGCTCATATTTTGCCCTGAACAGTTGAAAACAGTCCTTTTCATCCTAGTTGTTACAGTTATTCCATCTTTCAATGCAATGGTATCATTAAAAGTTCCAAAATTCATTGTTGACATTTTGAACCAGCCTGGTGTGTTGACTTCATGGCTCCTATTGTTCCACTTTGGGCCATAATAGGATGCCTAGGCCTGTTTTTATTTTTATTTTTTTCGCCCGCCTGCTCCATTATTTTTCTAGAAAAATCCGTTAACCAAGAAATCAAATTGGTGTGGCCTAAAAATCCCTATAATAATATTGTACATCTACATTGGACATCCCTATTGATTCAGACACCTCACTATTTGTTGAGAGAACAGTGTGTCCATACTTACACTGAACCTGCCTGTCGTGCCCAGTAGTGTCCGGACTTCCTTCAGGATGATGACCCCCAGTTTCCTGGTGACCGGTCGGCAGCTGCACAGGATGACCAGTGCGAACCCCTCCACCCTGTGGAGCACCCTGGCGTGGGGGCTGCGGTCAAACGGCATGTGGGGGGCCAGATCAGGGGGGCCGTACAACTTGTCCTGTACGGGGGGGTGAAGAACAAAATGGTCAAAAAGTCATAAAAGCAAAACACTTACTTTTTCTTCTTTTTCAAACTCTAAGTAGTACGTTCATCAATTTTAAAGGCATCCAGTGCAGTTTTTAGGGCTTGAAAACCCGATTTTTCAAAGCCAATATTCTAGTCATTTATCTACATACTGAGTTGAAACAACTCTATCCCAAAATATATTGACCCTCATGGAGCATTTTTACCAAAATCCTGACGGAAAAGGGTCACTGGATGGGCCCTGGGATGATTTTTAGGGTACCACCAAGGAAATAAAAGACTCGTCTTGGGGCTTGTTTCTGCAGTTTTAAAAGCCAAAGGTAGGAAATACTGACTCAAATGTGCTAATGTGAAGCAGTATGACTCAATATCACAAAGATTACCGTATTCAGAATATTTCCAGTTTTGCTGCCCTAAAATCGCATTGGATGCCTTTAATAAAAACCGTGTGCACCACTGCAAAAAACTGTCCAAAATTACAGCACATGTACACATTCACAGCGCATCTTTTTCTAAAGATTTCGTTGTTTGAGCAGCTTAACCAAGTTAGGGAAAGGCTCAAGATGCTACTTATGTGTATATTATGACTCATAGGAAATCTTAAATGTGGCCATTTGTTATAATCATCATGACCATTACATGTTTAGAGTTAGATGTTCAAGGGTTAGGTGTAACAAGTCGATCGGTGTAATATAGCCAGCTGCTGCCGTGCCACCTGCCTGTGAAGCTGGTGTGTTACGCCGAAGGGCGGTTATACCGGCTATACAGATACAGAAGCTGGTGTGTTACGCCGAAGGGCGGTTATACCGGCTATACAGATACAGAAGCTGGTGTGTTACGCCGAAGGGCGGTTATACCGGCTATACAGATACAGATACATGAAAGAAGAGTACTAGTTTTCCTAGTCCCAAATGACGATGTTTATGTTTTGTTGTGTACAATGTTGTTGTTATGTACGATGTTTATGTCATACCCGGCTGTCGTACAGCGCCTGGTCTGCTGTCCGCCAGTGGGTGAGGAACTGTACCAGCATGCGCAGCGAGCTGTCCAGGATCAGGGGGTGGGTGTCATGGACCTCCTTCAGCACGAAGGCTATGAAACCTGCAGCAGAACAACAATGGGGTTAGGCCTCACCAATTTAATTTCTTGGTTAATGAATTTTTCTAAAAAAAAGTAATGGAGGGAGCAGACAAAAAATAATAAAAAATAAATAAAACCGGCCTAGGCATCCTATTATGGCCCAAAATGGTACGACAGGAGCCATTAGGTCAACACACCAGGCTGGTTCAAAATTTAAACAATGAATTTTGAACTTTTAATGATACCATTGCATTGAAAGACGGAATAACTGTAACAACTAGGAAGAAAAGGACTGTTTTCAACTGTTCAGGGCAAAATATGTGAGCATTTTGCAGTTGATTCTGAATTTTTTTTTCTTTTTGCAAATCAGAAAAAAATGAAGCGGGCGAATCCATTAGATCTAACCAAGAAATTAAATTGGTATGGCCTTAGGCCTGGAAAAAAATGTTGTGTTTCCTGTTTCACAACAGACCCTAGGAAAAAACTGCTGAGGGGCATAAATCTTTTGAGCTAATCAACTTTTTCTATCTCCATGATCTGACACCTGAGTGATGAAACACTGTACAATTCGTTTTCCAAGTTCCAACATCGACATTGAAAATTAATGTCTTCATGCAAGTTTTAAATTAGAGATTGCCAAAGTCTAAAAAAAAAGATACTAGTAATCCCTACCTACTGACAAAATTTTTTTAAAAACTGAAAAAGGAAATGACAACATTTTTTTCCTAGGCCTTACAACATTCTGCAGATCGAGAACTCTACCAGAAATAAGTGCCTGATCTAACATCGACCAGCACATCATCAGAAATTTGTATTACAACAATCAACAGAACGATGGTCCCTATAATATAAAATCAACCAGCGTTTTTTCAGTCAACGTTAGCATTATTTCAGAACAATAGTTTTGGCAATTGTCTATCTTTTTGTCATCTCTATGTCATTCTTTTATGCAATCCTCTGTCTTTCCTTAAGCTTCCTGATACAAACACTAATTTTGGTCTATCAATCAATTAATGGTTAACCTGACTAAAAATCAATCCTATTTGAGGACACATAGGTTACTGACTCTACAGTGCCACCTAGCAGAATGTTTACAAATTACAGTCTATATGAATGTAAGGTCTAGTTTGCGTACCATTAAGAACATCCTCCCTCCAGGCGGGGAAGTCCAAGACGAGATTCTGCAGCGCCGTGAAGGCGAGATTCCGCAGTTCCTCATCCATGTGCACGGTCAGGCGCGACAGCATGTCAATCAGCTCGGCTTTACTCATGCCCTCCGGGATCAGGCGCGGGATGGCGGCCACGCACGTACGGAATAAGTCAATCTTTGGTTTCCGCTCCCCTCTGTAAGAATCAAAGTCATTTTTATGGTGAATGTTTATCAAACGACTGGATAGACTGCTCCCCTTTGGCTAACAAAAACAAATTTTAACCAATGAAAATGGCTTTTCATTTCTACATTTACAAGGTAGATCTACATGTATGACATTGATCTATTTCAGAGATCTGTAGATCGTATAACACATTTCTTACTAGATCAATGTAAACATACAGTGTTTAAATGCAGGAATACTGAATTGTCACATGCTATTCTGCAACACCCTCTAGCAGAATGACTACAAACTGCAGTACTTACGTAATCATGTCCTCTGGCTCCTTGTTCATACACTGGACGTTCGTCATGGACATGGACCGTCCCACTTGTAGGTCGAGAGCGCGTAGGATCCCGTCCAGCGATTTCCGCACGGCGGGGTAATACTGTTGGATCCCGATCTGTTTGGCCGTGTCGTCTGTCAACATTTTGTTGAGGAAGGTTTTCTTGACGCGCAGGGTGTTACCGGATGGGAGGACTCCAACCGTGGATGGCATCGGAGGTTCTCCATCCTTCTGTTCCAGACTGTCTGCAATCACCAGGAATGCACGCAGACCAATGTTCATCCTCTGTAGGGACAAAAACAGTTATTAGTTAGCCTCCACAGCATGCCAAAAACTGGGGGTTTGGGGGGTCTTCATGGTCTTTGGGTGCTTTTATGTGCTATTTTCTGATTGCATATAGACAACATAGCCGGCCTGATTAGAACTGGGCTAATCAGAAAACAGCCGAGGATCACCAAACCCCCAGTTCTATAAGCCTGCTACGGAGGCTAGTTATTAGTTGATGAAATCCTGAGGAGACCTAGCGAGAAAACCTATTCTACAAAACTTACTTACCCAAGAGTCATCTCAAGAGAACCTGGATTTGATATTACATAACTCGTATTTCCCCAGAACTACTGTATCGTAGACTGGAACTCGTTGCCACCAAGCACAGTTGGGGCATCATTACTAGAAAGCTTTAAACAACTCCTGCAATCAAATGTGCAAAGATTGAGTGTAACAAGTCGTTCGGTGTGATATAGCTAGTTGCCGCCACGCCGCGTGCATGCGAAGCTGGTGTGTTACGCCGAAGGGCGGTTATACCGGCTATACCGATACAGATATATATATATATATATAAAAGACCTCAATTCAAACATGGCTGACAGATCAATGTGGAATATAGTAGTGCAACATCTTACCCCATCCCCCAGAGTCAACAGAAGATGATGATGCGAGTAAAAACTTTTAGGCTGTATCAAATTTAGTTTTTCACCTTGCACATTATAGGATAGCTCTGCAAATGTCTCTACTCTTGCAGAAATTTCACACTGTCCTACATGTATAAGGACTAGGAAGTAGCATTGATGTTTAATGATAACTGAGAAATCCTGTCAAGTTATGTCATAATTTATTCCTCATTGGTCCAAAGTCATAGCTACATGTAGTACTGACCTCTGGGTAGAGTGCCAGTTTTGAAGGTCGTCCAACGCACAGAAGGTCAAACACAATCTCCCGCATAGCAAAGTCCAGTCTCTCCTGTAACAAAAAAACAAACAGAACAATATTCGCATTAACATTCATATTTACAAGGAAATCATTGCACTTGAAAAAAGGCAAGGTAGTCTTGTGGTTAGGTTGACGTCACACTTCAAAGAAGCCACGTGACAAGCTTCACTGGGTCAGTCTACTGAGGTCAACCAGAGTGACTGGTCGAAAGCTATAGGTGGGAGAATTTGTGGTGTTGGATCAAAAGTTATTACTTTAAACTTGTGGTTAGGGTTGTTGACTCAGAATCTCAAGGTTCTGGGTTCGAATCCCCGGCAGGCCCATCTGTTGTCTCACTTTACACCTATTTCCTCACTCTGCACAGGTGACAGGTGAAAATGAGCTTCAGTTAGGGACCTCCATGAAACAAACAGGAAAATTGATGCCACAATAGTCTAAGACAAACAAAAGAGTTAGGCTACACCGACTTAATTTTATGGATGACATCCGCGCACGCATTGATTTTCACCTGTTCTCAAAAAAAAAAGATCACGTCCTCTGAGGCTCTGGCCTGGCTCTAGGCCTGGGTAGTCCATGGTAGTTTATATAGCGACAATACGGACCCATGGTAACTCACGGAGGATGGCACCCAGGCTACCGAAGCTCCATGACTCAAGAACTTAGTACATACGTACAGTGCTGATTCATTAATTTTGCAAAAAGCCACCATGTGGAGGCTTGTCGCATACGTCACTATGAACTGCCGCAAATTCATGAAACCAGCTTTGTATTCCTGTAGTTTAGTAGCATTTTTATTTTTGGCCGGAATTTTTGAAGACTGAAAAAGAAGACAAAAAAGACTGACCTGTGCGATGAACTGGATGATTTTGACAAAGATGTTGAGCGGGGTGTCACGGGGGACGACATTGCGGGAACCTTTCGGAAACAGACTGTTAACGATGTTCTGCAGACGGCTCTGGGTCTGGGTGTTACTCTCACACTTTATTCTGATCATGTAGACCCTAAACAAACAAACAAACAAGTTAGGCTCTGGGTCTGGGTGTTACTCTCACACTTTATTCTGATCATGTAGACCCTAAACAAACAAACAAACAAACAAGCAAACAATCAAGTTAGGCTTTGAGTTTGCATGTTGTCAACCCAAAGGATAGAGGCAAGTGGCGGGCTGCCATCAAGCCTTAGCATCAGAGTGCAAGCACGTCTAACCCTCCGAAGACGGTGAACAACAGACGATAAACCGGATAGTGAGTGAATGATGTTCTTCTCACATTTTCTTCTAAATATACAGACCCATAACATCATATAAGATAGAACCATTTCATCATTTCGACACCACTGCGCCACTGGTATGTATTATGTTAAAATCTAAACAAAAGTTGTATCAAGGACACAGGGACAGTTCTGAAACTTTTACAGTTACTGGTTTTGAAAAGATGTTAAAAAGGCACAAAAATAAGCTGCCAATTTTCATTTTACATTCAGTTTCCAAGAAATTAGAATATGGTACACCAGTACTCACCACAGTAGTCTGTACAGAGACTCCAGTGCCACTCGGGACATCTTAGGATCACGATTCTGGAGAACAAACAGAAATATCTCAGAACTACAAATTCTGTGCTCCAAGTTGTCACAACAGTCTTTTTTTTCCAGTTTTTGTTCCAGGGACAGGATCAGGGTGATATTGCTAGGATAATCAGTGTGAACGTAAGTTCAGCACCAGGGACAGGACCAGTGTGAAGTCACTAGGAGGATAGTCAGTGTGAATGGAAGTTCAGGGACAGGACCAGTGTGAAGTCACTAGTAGGATAGTCAGTGTGAATGGAAGTTCAGCACCAGGGACAGGACCAGTGTGAAGTCAGTAGGAGGATAGTCAGTGTGAATGTAAGTTCAGGGACAGGATCAGTGTGAAGTCACTAGGAAGATAGTCAGTGTGAATGTAAGTTCAGCACCAGGGACAGGACCAGTGTGAAGTCACTAGGAGGATAGTCAGTGTGAATGGAAGTTCAGGGACAGGACCAGTGTGAAGAACATTAGAACTATAGAGAACTATTTGAACTATAGATGGGATTTCATCCTTAAATATGCGAACACATACGAGAAACAAGAAGTGCTGTGCACGATAAATTACGGATATGGTACAGGCACAGTATGTTCTGCTGACATGCTGGAAAAGTCTACTTGTACGTAATACCTTAGACTTACCTTAAGATGAGACAGACAGTTGGACAAGAAGTAGTGCCAGTTGTTGAGGAAGAACTGCTTCTGACTCACGCACAGTAAACAGGTAACCAGGGGAAACAGGGCCTGGAACAAACAAACAAACAAAAAGTTTTAGTACACAATTGGTACTGTGTTTGATTAGGTAGGAGAGTCCACCCTAAACACATGAAACAACCCACAATGCTTATTGCAAGAGGGTGCCTCCTAGTTTGAGTAGCATTATGGCAGTGTACAAAATACGTTTTTGAACCAGGTTGCCCAGTTGCCCAGTGGGCAATCTACGGCAAAAATTAGGTTGCCCATCAGAATTTTAGGTTGCCCCACCTATAAGTTACTACTTTCCACATACGTAAGCCTTTGACAATATTTCTAACAGACTTTAGTTAATGATACTAGTAATAGCCATTAATACCTAAAATTAAAAAGTATCTGCCGGATACATTGGTGCTAGCCAAGTGGGCATGATTTTAGGGGGGGGCATTCTTAAAATTCAGGTAGCACACTAGTGGGCTACCTAGCTTCAAAAATAGGTTGCCCCATGTTATATTTGGTTGCCCGGGGCAACGGGGCAACCAGGTATTTTGCACGCTGAATGGGCAATTTTATTTTCTTAAGGTCATCTCAATTAGTGCCAAACTGCTGTCATTCCAAACAGTTAAACTTGATCCAAGGCTCTAGGCAGCTTGAAATATTTTCTGTCAGTCGAAGTTCATGACTAGACCTAGGAGGAGAGTGCTCACAATCTAGGGGGGTCTGGGGGTAAATTTATTTTATTTTCAAGTCTTTAGAAATGCAATTTCCCACATTTTGAGAGGCAAATCATGGGGTTGAGAGTGGCTGTCCGTGGTCCTTTGGATGTTTTTCTATTTGTACCCAAGATTTTTGTCAATTTTGTCTATCAAGGTTTACAAATAATTATTGGTTTAAAAATTTTTCCGTCACATGCCAGAATGTTCCTGAAATTAATGGAAAAACTGATGCTGGCTAGAGCCCTGTCTTGGTTCCCATACATTATTATAAGCTCTCACAATCATTGGTCATAGTAGAAGTAGTAGTGACCAAGTCGAAGTCTGTCTAGACTAACAGTAGAAGTAGTGTTACTGACCAGTGCATGTTTCTTCTTCCCAGACATCTCTAAGGTGTGCTGATATAACATCTCCACAAAACACTTGATGGCTGGCAGGTTCAACATCACATCGTTCTTCACAGCCTGTACGAGTAAGGGAACAAGGTCACACAAGGTCATATGCAAGGTCAAGTATAACATCTGTGTCCATAATATCACCAGGGTCCATAATATCGCCACCTTGAGAAAAAGTGTGCTTTAAGATATTTTTACTGCAACATACCCTAGGTATGTACATTTGATGTGTGAAGGAGTGCATACCAAAAGTATGTTGCAGTAAAAATATCTTGAAGCACACTGTTTCTCAAGGTGGCGATATTATGGACCCTGGTGATATTATGAACACAGATGTTAGGTCTTATTCTAAAAAACAGAATTATGGATAACACAAAAGGAAGCTGCACTTTATCCTCACAAAACATTTATGGCGTATATGTATGCACACTCTGTCCATCTGTCATCATGATAATGATTTGGCTTACCCCCTGCATTATCCATTTTTATTAGCATTCTAAGGCCACACCAATTTAATTTCTTGGTTAACGGATTTTTCTAGAAAAATAATGGAGCGGGCGGGCGAAAAAAAAATAAAAATAGGCCTAGGCATCCTATTATGGCCTAAAATGGTACGATAGGAGCCATGAAGTCAACACACCAGGCTGGTTCAAAATTCAAAAAAATAAAAAAAATGAATTTTGAACTTTTAATGATATCATTGCATTGAAAGATGGAATAACTGTAACAACTAGGAAGAAAAGGACTGTTTTCAACTGTTCAGGGCAAAATATGAGCATTTTGCAGTTGATTCTGAATTTTTATTTTTATTTGCAAATCAGAAAAAGATGAAGTGGGCGAATCCGTTAACCAAGAAATTAAATTGTTGTGGCCTAAGGGAACTTGGATATGGTCTACACAGTCAAGTCTTCTTCAGAGACAAGAAACTCAAGAAACAATCTAAAAATTCATTGGTTAAATCACGCCAGACGATGACATTGATATATGAATGGAAAAATGTGTGGGGTAGAGATAACTATGATCATCATTACAGATACATTTTTGTACATGTAAAAAGAACAGAGTGGAAGAATGCATCAACTTCTTCCGAAAATAATTTCATCAGGTTGGTAGAACTTAGGAGACGGGTATTTCTTTTTACACAAACTACATCGGCTACATATAGCGGCGAGATGCAGTACTCCAGTCAGAAGCTCTGAAGAAGGTGTCTGACAGACACCGAAACGTCAGCAAGGTGAGAATTTACCGGTTGTGTAAAAAGAAATACCTGTCTCCTATGCATCAACTTCTGTGAAACAAAAGGGGTTCCAGTAAAGATGATACGTACAGCAGCAACAGGAACCAGGATTTCGACAAAGAGCCCTGCCAGGGCGTGTTTGATGTCCTTGTCTTTGACCTCCAGAAAATACTTCCCACATTCCTGCATGAACTGGAATGACGCTTCTAAATCCTCCACTGGAAAAAGCTGGGTAACAAACAAACAAAAATCATCCTGTCATGAAAGTTCATCTGTGTTGGTAGTTACATGTTTAAAGTTAAAACTTTTGGTCCAACACAAAAAATTCTCTCACCTAGAGCTTTTGACCAGTCACTCTGGTCTTCCTCAGTAGACTGACCCAGTGGAGCTTGTCACGTGGCTTCTTTGAAGTGTGACGTCAACACTGGGTCAAAGCCAGGTTTCAAGAACATACATGGCCTACAATGTAGCTCTGCCAGTTCAGAGGTGTCTCAGCACATTCACATAGAGTCACCCGGACATTTTGTTTCACTTGACACTGTAAGGATTTTAGACACTGAACAAGACTATTTCTTGAGAGGGGTGAAGGAAGCCATTTACATCAGGGCCCATCACCCTACATTGAACCGCGACGGGGGCCGACATCGTCTACCAGATACTTTTGACCCAGTGTTGACGTCACACTTCAAAGAAGCCACGTGACAAGCTTCACTGGGTCAGTCTACTGAGGAAGACCAGAGTGACTGGTCAAAAGCTCTAGGTGAGAGAATTTTTTGTGTTGGACCAAAAGTTTTAACTTTAAACAAACAAAAATTATGTGATTCATTATGTTTACTGAAGGAAAACAGAAAGAAAAAGAAATTTTATTGCAAATTCATGCTTTTGCTCTGTTTCCTCTTCTTTTTCTTCTCCAGACCGATGAGGTCAATGACCTGAACCAGAGGCCTGTCACCATGGTAACTGGTGTTGTTGTTACGTCATGTTGCAATTTTGTAGCAGGAGGGATTTAGACCATATTATATGAATGTGTTTGAGTAAGAATTAAAAGAGAAGACCACATGCTAAGGTTAACATTATGTATTTGCTTTGCAAATGTTACCTTTCTACATGTAGTTTATTCATTCATTTTGTCATTCATTCAATCCCTCAATCATTCCAGCACTTGGCAGAATGATACATCAAGGTCTTCTCTGGGAAACACTTGACCTGGAAGGACTTCATGGCCATGATAAGGTCAATGACCTACCTTGACCCGGAAGAACTTCATGCCCATGATGAGGGCGATGACCCCTTGTGTGGTGTGCATGTTCTGCTCCTTACTTCTCAGCTCCTTTAACTCCGACATGAACCTTCTACGCACCGAGTGGAACCTGTGACAGTAAACAACAAACAAATAAACAAACATCATCATCGGCCATCCTCGTCACGAGGTGCAGCAACTGAAGTTCCAGTAATATTTGTCAGTAATTGCAAACACAAATTTTTGTACACCAGTTTCAGATTCAATGAAAAGGAATAAACAAACACGTCATGTAAAACCAATTACTAGTATGAAAGGACATAAACAGTTCTCAATCACCCTGTAAATTTAGAGACCCAGTCTTCAAGTTGTGAGTACTTACTCAGACTGTGTGAGAACTCCGATGACCTCTGCATAAAGGTCGGCGATGATGTGAAGGTTACTGGCGTTAACCGATGACTGTTGTCTGCAGGAGTAAAAACAGTATTTGAGATACTACAAAAATTGACATCTCCCATTATCTACTAACCTACTGGTTATATGCACTAGCTTCCTGACTTGCTTTTTCCTGAAGCTACTTTTATATCAACAAAGAAAGTATCAATGATAAAAAATGTAAGATTTTGATGCTAATATATAAGAATATAATAGGTAAGCTATACATGTTACAGTTTCAAAATTGATACATGTACATGTAGTAGCCAGTTCGTACCCTTCCCTGTGTTTGAAGTGTTTGAAGGCCAGGTTCTCGATGGTCTTGACTTGGCTGTCAGGGATGGGGTGGATATGACTCTGGAAAACAGGGGGTCAAGGTCAGATCAAGGGCAATCTGTAGGCCCTGACTATTTGAGTTACTAGTAGCAAAACAGACTGTCAGCATATCTAACTCATCTAGCTTCTTCACTAGTTGTTTTACAAAATCTCAACAACAATAATAATTTAATAATAATTATGACGATAAATCTCAACAGGTCACACAAAATGGCTAATATTAGCGAAAAGGGCCCATGGGAGCAGCTTAAAGCAGTTATCATACATCTCCCCAGTTCCTAATGCCTATAACACAGTTAAACCATCTCCTGTGAGTTGGCACATCTACTGTCAATTCACTTTAAATTGACTTAATCTTGTGGAAGGAAGCAAAAAAGGAGGTTTTCACTGTGCTTGAAGTTCAAAGTGGGCAAACAGACTGCACTTTTGACAAAAATCTGTATTGTATTGCAGTGTGATCATTTTGCAGTTATTCACTTGTGAACATAACTATTACATTGTACATCAGGGCAAATATTACAGGATTTACAGCACCTTTTAAACCAGAAGACAGTCTGACTAACTTAATCTAAATGCATGCAGACGTTTCAAAACTAATGCATATTTACATGATTGTATAATATAAGCATAAACAGTTAAACTTTCACCTGTTTCAAAACCTCTATCAGGACAAGGCAGAATATGAAATCCACAGCAAGCTGAAACCAAAAAAAGGACAGTGTAAACAACAATAACAAAGACAAAAATAGGTCTAATCAACATTTTACTCAACAACAAAATTCCAGGAAAGCATCATAAATGACATTTGCTGTGCATACTTACATCTCTTCTTTCATACAGATAGTCTTTGTCTTTCTCTCTGTAAGAAAATAAATAACTTTATGAGACACAAGACATGTATTCAGCTCTTTTGGTCAAAAACATGAACTCAAAGCTAGATTTTGTCAGACAATCTACCAAGCTAAGTATATATAAGCTTACTGATTAAATAACCATTGCTTATTGCAAAAGCTCAAAACCTGACAAGTAAATTTTATCATACACATACTTTGAATAATCAGACACTATACTACTAAATTTCAAAGTTGTCCTTGACACCACACCTGATATTGGTGACCTTGAGCCATGAATCTCCCAGAAATAACACAAAGTAAATGACCTTGAGCTGCCGTACCCTTTCCCGCTCTTGGTGTTGGTCCTGGGGCGTGGCTCCTCCATCCCGCCCTCCATGGCCTCTGCCATTGGTCCATTCTGTCTGTCGTACCACTCGAACAGCGTACGCAGTAACGACGGCAGGCAGTGTTCAGCCACGGCATTCAGTGAACTCAGCAGCTGGGGGGAGGGGATTGGGGGTTAGAGGGGGGCAAAACAATCACTCCAATGTATGGACCAGTTATTGTCGTGACATTTAACAGTTCCTAGTCATTGTAATTAAGTCACGTAATTGCAAGATCTTTAAGACTTTTCAAATTAAAGTACATGTACACGAATGCTTTTTCTTGAGTTGCTATGCTGGGCTTTAAACTGGTTGACATACTTACTATGAGTATGATGTCATCAGCAGTCACAACTGTTGTTGCAATTTGAATAATTGAATTAACTCTACAAAAAGCGACAAAAAGCTCTAAATATAATAATTGATTTGTGTCATAGAATGGTTGTACTTTTTTTGTTTTAATTGATACAATTTAATCAGAAAATTTGTATATTTTATTTTCGTACATGAATCTTTAACTTCTGTTTCACAACTGACAAAAAAATGGCTTTAGTAACCTAAGAGGTTCTGCAAAATTCTGTATGAACAACTATGTAAGAGGTGCTAGTGTCACGGAAATGAAAAGAAACCTACAGTGGACCTCACTTGAAGACAGAAGAAAGATGTCTCGACTATGCATGATGTACAAAATGACTAATAAACTGGTGGATGTCCCAACTACTAAGTACCTAATACCAGCCCAGAAGAGAACAAGAAATAGCCACGCATTCAAGTACCAGAGTTATCAACCAAGGATTGAGGTGTTCAAGAATTCATTCTTTCCTAGAACTATCGCAGAGTGGAACTCACTGTCACCAAGTACATTAGGGACACTGTCAATAGATAGCTTTAAACAATGTCTAGAGCTAGAAGTTCAAGGGTTAGGTGGAACAAGTCGATCGGTGTAATATAGCCAGCTGCCGCCGCGCCGCGTGCCTGCGAAGCTGGTGTGTTACGCCGAAAGGCGGTTATACCGGCTATACAGATACAGATACAGAAGAGGTAAACCTGACGTTACCTGGTCAAACTGTGGGTCCTCCCCCCTCTGGAGGGACTTGGACAGTGGCCTCTCCTGCAGGGTCAAGAGCAAACAAATTACTACCATTTTATCAGACCTCATCTTTTAACAACAGTGTGACTAATACTGTCATGTATATGGCTTCAACAACAGCAAAACAACAACTGATTCCAAACTTACAGTATTTTATAGACCTTATAAATAATTTTAAGTTAAAAGTTAATAAAAGTTAATAAAAGTTAAAACAGTGTAAAGCAAAGACTTGTCTCTAACATAATACATAGTAGCTGGTGCCTTTTGTAGATCATCTCTCCTCCATGTAAGCCCCATGAAGTGGGTCAGTTTTACTGATGAAGGCTGCAAATAGATCTAGAGCTAAATACTTGGTTAAGTCATATTCTTTTCAGTATTAGATCTACAGTTCATCACATCAGTCTCTATCAATCAAATTCAATGTGACTGTCTGTAATGTTACATACCAGTGGTTCTGCTAGCACGACCTCTATCTTCCTCTCTGCCTGGACGGTGAACTCAGTGAACAGGCTCCGCAGTACGTATTCGCCAGGTTTGATCTCGGGGTCGATGTTCGTCACTGCCCGCAGTGACTGCTTCTCCCGCACCGAACCCACGCGCTGTAGCGTCGCCTGCGGGGTCACGGGGGTGCCAGACATCCCGCTGGTCGTACTGCTGCCTGTATATACCAGGTGACAAACAACCAATCATCACTGCTGATCTGTAGATCACATGACCAACAACTAATCATCACTGCCACCTATAGGTCACATGAATACTAGTTGGCAACATCCAATCATCGCTGCTGTATTGTAGATCACCTGACCAACAGCCAATCACTACTGCCTGTAGATTACTTGAGCAACAACAGATCAGCACGTCGGCAAAACGTACTGCTCCTGTGCGAAACCCGAAATGTGTGTGCATAGCACTTCGGCAGAACGTCTCATACAAGGTCGTATTTGCACATATAAGGTTAACATCCCATCTGTAGTTTCAAAATATTATGACTCAGAAAAGATATCTCCTGCAACAGACAAAATTGTAATGCAACGGTGAGCAAAAATCCACAGAAAACCCTCAAAAATCAGGGTCTCGCGCAGGCGCAGTACGTTCTGACAACGTGCTCAACCGATCATTGCTACTTGTAGATCACATGACCAACAACCAATCATGAATGCTGCCTATGGACCACATGACCAATAGCCAATCATCCCAACTTAGTGTGAAGCTCATGATCAACTGCTGCCAACAATCTCATGACCAACTACCAAATCATGTCACTACCTGCAAATCACATGACCAAAAGCCTATAATTGCTACAGAATATCATTTTAAATTCAACCAGACTATATACTAAGTCTCCTTTTATCCTGTGACTAGATCCTATCCAATATATGTTTGTTTTAACACCATCGTTCACTTGATACTCCCTTCACATCTGGCCATGGGGCCTAGACACCTGACCCCCCCCCCCACACCTGTCCAAACACATGAAACCTGCAGCTGTCAACACACCTTCATTGCTGGGTTCCTCCCTGTCCAGGTGGAACAGGTGAGTGTCCAGCAGGCTACACCTGACCCAGCTGACCAGCCCCTGGTCTTCCCCCTGACCTTCACCTGCCTCCGTCATCCTCCTCTTACAACACCAAAATGGCTGCCTGCCTTACAGCTGCAGGAGGCTGTGATTGGGGGTTTTCCTGCACCCCCGTTGTAAATCAATATTTTTATCCCAGACAAATATTCCCCAGTATTCATAGAATATCTGACATACATTGAGCCAAACAGTTTTAAAAAAAGGCTATGAAACCTATTTATAGTATTTTTCAAGGTCACACAGGCTTTGAATACGGAGATTCAATATTGCTTGATGGGCAATTCTGAGCTCCCCTTTGGGAGCCTCCTGCAGAGATAATGCTGGCAGGTCCCGGCAGACGATGACGTCAGGTGATCCTCATGACTATATTAGGAACACCTCAGTTATCAGGGTGGGGAGGGGGGCAGGTGGGGGATACAATACAGACTTTCTCCTCTTCAGATTCTGAACAATATTATCTACATTTTCTTTGCGCCATTTAGATTTTTTGTAAATACTGAATGACCATCAACCAAATATTTTTGTTATGCGACATTTAGATTTTTGGAAATACTGAATGACCATCAACCAAATATTTTTGTTATACGACATTTAGATTTTTGGAAATACTGAATGACCATCAACCAAATATTTTTGTTATGCGACATTTAGATTTTTGGAAATACTGAATGACCATGATCAACCAAATATTTTTGTTATGCGACATTTAGATTTTTGGAAATACTGAATGACCATCAACCAAATATTTTTGTTATGCGACATTTAGATTTTTGGAAATACTGAATGACCATCAACCAAATATTTTTGTTATGCGACATTTAGATTTTTGGAAATACTGAATGACCATCAACCAAAATAATTTTTTGTTATGTGACATTTAGATTTTTGAAAATACTGAATGACCACCAACCAAATATTTTTGTTATCTCAAGCACCTGACTCATGATCATACTGGACTAGACTAGATGAAAGCCACAAGGATCATTGGAAGGCCTTCTTCATTATAGCAGTAATAATCGACAGACAAAATCAGCCAGGGAAATAGACTGAAAAATCACCCCTGGGAACATTATCGTTACAAATCATGGCATTATCATGAATAGTGTCATTCTTATTAATAGATAACATGAAATGCTTTGGAATGACATCATTTTGCAAGAGAGCAGAAATATATCAATGAAATATATCAACAAAATGGACAAATTGATAGACAAAATTAACTTGGCCACAAGTGTCCATAAAATATTTATTTATGTCAGTATATTAAATCCACCATAACTGCAGTGTTAAACCAATATAAAAGCAAAATACAAGGTTCACTAAAAAAAGGAACAAATACCAAAAGAATTCTAATATGCCACCACTAAATAACATCACAGAATGATTGATTTTTATTTCTGAAGATCAAAGTTATTAAGCAACCTCATAAATATTAAATTTGACACTTTAAAAATTTAGTCACGTATCTCCCTCCTGACTTAACCCGAGTGACATTGAACTGTTCCAGGCCATTTATCCAATCAGCTTGCCCAAACTATGATTGGATTAAACTACCAACAGCCCCCTATATGGACCTCTCTTGGTCAGTTGGTGTCAGCATGTCAACCTTTTTCCCACTTTACATATGAACCAAAAATCGCTTGTTTCTCTCAAAGAGCATAAATAGTGTAATGGTGAACAAGGCAAATATCAGAGTTATGAACCAAGAATTGAGGTGTTCAAAAACTCGTATTTCCCCAGAACTATCGTAGACTGGAACTCGTTGCCACCCAGCACAGTTGGGGCATCATCACTAGAAAGCTTTAAACAACTCCTGCAATCAAATGTGGAAAGATCGAGTGTAACAAGCCGTTCGGTGTGATATAGCTAGCTGCCAACGCGTCGCATGCCTGCGAAGCTGGTCTGTTACGCCGAAGGGCGGTTATACCGGCTATACCAATACAGATACAGAAGGCACTTAGAGATGGCAGACTTCACCATGATATTGCATCACCACCCAAAGACAAAAATAACAGCATTCAGGATGTATATACATACAACAATGCTGGCCTGTCATGCTGGCCTGTCATATATGTATACCGGTATTGAGAATACAGGAAAACAGGCAGACAAGCCAAAAACAATACTTCATTTCCTTGGGGTAAAGTAAGCATCCTGTCACTGAAATTTCCTGGACCTTTACAACATGTATTAAAGTCAAATCCAGATCTTTAATTCCAAAACCAATGAACCCTCAGCCTGGTAAAGGCATTACATCTGCAAAAGCAGATGTCATTACCACATACTAAGTACTTTTAGGCCTATGAAAAAAAATGTTGCGTTTCCTGTTCCAGTCCTGAAAAAATTAGTGTTGGTATAGGTATGGATTATCTTTTTTTTTATTTCTTTTTTAGACTTTGGTGATCTCTAGTGATCCAACATATAAAAGACAGTGTAACAAAGTAAAACTTGCATAAGGACACTTATATTTTCAATGTCAATGTTGGAAAAAACCGATTGTACAACATTTCATTACTCAGGTTTCAGATCATGGAGCTAGAAATGGTCAATAATTAGATGAGCTCAAGAAACCTATGTCCCTTGCAGGGGTCCACCAAAAAAAAGAGGCTAGGGTCAGCAGTTTTTTCTAGGGTCGGTCGGGAAACAGGGAACACAACATTTTTTTCCTAGGCCTTAGCATAAAGCAGTGCGGGTAAAATTTGTCTGGTGCATGTTACAAAAACTATTTCCAATACTACCTCAGTACCTGCAAAGAGATGTGATACAGCAGACAATTGCAACAATACGAACAAAAACTGCCTCCATTTAGAAAACAATGTTTTAGAAAACAATCAATACATAATTGATTTTTGATTCACTGTGAGATAAGATATCAAAACTAATTGTTACAGAATGTCAACCATGCTCAACTTTGCCAAATTTCAGAGCTTTCAAAAATCAGTCCATTTTCACTTGATTGTAATGACATCATGTTGCCAAGGTTACGTTTATCTTTATATAATAAAAGGTTCACAGTTTGTTTTCGTAATACTTGAACTGTTTGCAGTGGTTTTATTTCGTGGTTTTGTGGTGACCTCTTACAACAAAACCATGCCACTGCAAATATATTTTGTGTTACTTCTGTGCAACAGAATTGTTTCAATCGCAGCTTGTAACACACTGCTACAACCTCCTTCACCCTCCTAACATGGAATCAACTACCTGCAAAAATGAATGAAGTTTACAGTACTAAGTTAATACCTAGTAATATTTACACACATAGGCATGTGCATGACCGAACACAAACACAGAGCACAGTATTATTGTGCCCCACCCTTTAATACAACTGTGACAATATTTAGCCTCACCAGAAAAAGAATTGTCACTGTGTTTATAAAAGGTGATGTCTAGACGTTTTTATATCACTACATAACTTACAAATTTATCATTTAGCAATACAAACGTTATAGTCCTTACTTAATTAATGAACATTCTTTATTTGGAACACTTTTCTGGAAATCATTTCCAGTCTGATAGCAATTAATGACAGAACTGACAGAATGCAAAAACAAGTTGGCCAGGAACAAATGTACACTTTGTATCATGGTGCCATTATGATACAATTACATTTCAATTCCCTCGGGCTATGGAACACGTCTTCTGAAAAAGAAGAATCTGACCAAACTCTAATAAGACACAATCTCAAGATGCTTACAAAGGGGTCGGTGACACCTTTCAGCACAGGTATATAAACTCCGTAACTGAATGATTACCAAGACTGGGTATTCAAGTCTAAACAAACAACAGTTACTGTAGTGAATGTGTGTCGCACGTTCTTATAATTGTCTGTAAGACTGAGGGATGACTTGTCAGGTCTTGTCCAGGTGACTCACCTGTGCTGTAGTACGGCAGGTGAGCCTCGGAGGGTACTGGCTCCTCCCAGTCCAGCGAAAAACGCGACATTTGGGTTAAACTTGTGTTCACGGGGGACGACATGGTGGTCCTGTTGCCTCCATGCTGGAACTGATGTGGAGCGGACAGGCAGGCCTAACGTGCAACAACGCCTACAGCTAAAACTGGGACAATGGGCCCTCCGCCGGGGCCGGTCCACCCACTACATACAACACAGCCAGACAACTTTACCAACTCAACAAGTCCGAAAACCTACGCAGGAACAAACCCAACCAAACAACACGTCATGTTCACAACACGTCCTGGTATAAAGCAACAAGTTTGTTTACTGTTTATTGTAAATAGAATAAAAAACTGTTGCACTGATAGCTCGAATGATAGAGCACATGTTATGCCTGGAGGTATGTGTCTATTCATGGATCAATTATGTATAACAGGTGGGACCAGTGGGTCGTACCATATCCGGAGGGGAGGGGGCAGCCTGCACAGCTGTAGGTCTCTGTCTTTTGTGTTTCTCAGGCCAAAGTATTACAGTTCTATGGGCGACAGCAGAAAAAAGCATTGATTCTACCGAAACAAAGTTAACAGGGACACAAAGAAGTAAAAGGAAAACACACCCCTGCAAAATACGTGGAGTCACCCTCTCCACCTGAAAGTCTGACATGATATTAAACTCAAAAATGTTCTATAACTTATAAAGTATTGATGAACGTCAAAGTGGGTAACCTGACCGACAAGCATTATTATAGTAAATACACAGTCTGTAGATATTACATGTGTGTATTCAATATACACACATGTCATATTAACAGTGTACAAAATACTTTTTTGAACCAGGTTGCCCAGTGGGCAACCTACAGCAAAAATTAGGTTGCCCATCAGAATTTTAGGTTGCCCCACCTAAAAGTTACTACTTTCCTCAAATTAAGTAATGTTACATACATAAGCCTTTGACAATATTTATAACAGCCTTTAGTTAACTGATCTGTATCTGTATCTGTATCTGTATAGCCGGTATAACCGCCTTTCGGCGTAACACACCAGCTTCGCAGGCACGCGGCGCGGCGGCAGCTGGCTATATTACACCGATCGACTTGTTACACCTAACCCTTGAACTTCTAGCTCTAGACATTGTTTAAAGCTATCTATTGACAGTGCCCCTACTATACTTGGTGACAGTGAGTTCCACTCTGCGATAGTTCTAGGAAAGAATGAATTCTTGAACACCTCAATCCTTGGTTGATAACTCTGGTACTTGAATGCGTGGCTATTTCTTGTTCTCTTCTGGGCTGGTATTAGGTACTTAGTAGTTGGGACATCCACCAGTTTATACTGATACTAGTAATAGCCATTAATACCTAAAATTAAAAAGAATCTGCCGGATACAATGGTGCAAGCCAAGTGGGCATGATTTTTTTTGGGGGTTGGGGGGGCGGGGGCATTCTTAAAATTCAGGTAGCACACTGGGCTACCTAGGTTCAAAAATAGGTTGCCCCAAGTAAAATTTGGTTGCCCGGGGCAACTGGACAACAGGTATTTTGCACGCTGTATTAAGCATTAAACATCTACTATAAAGTTGCAAAAGATATACATCCTAGTTTCTGAAATACCGTAAATTTAATTTCTCTATTTTCACAAGAACTTAATATTGCTGTGCTGATATGAACCCTAAAAGTATGATCTTCCCTCATCTATATTTCATAATTATTTCTCTCAATAAAAATTTGGAGAACATGTTCTATATGATTATGCATAAGATGATGACATGAAAGCAATGGATTGTCCATTCCGTAACACAGAAAGGCACTGTTAAGTCGAATACAAACTCCCATCTTTGCTATTTATTTTTTGTTGGAAATTACAGTGTCAGTCTGTAATTCAAACAGTGAGTATGACACTAGTGTGAGCAATGTTTTCTAAATGTATGTACAGGCATGGTAGATATGGTGTCCAGTTTTATATTACTTGATGCAACAAAATGCTATCATTAAAACCTAACATACGTAATTGTTCTACATAAGGCCACACCGACTTAATTTTATAGATGATATCCGCGCGCGCATTGATTTTCGACTGTTCTCAAAAAAAAGATTACGTTCTCCAAGGTCCTGACCTGGCTCTAGGCCTGGGTAGTCCATGATAGTTAGAAACGGTAACTATAGAGGATGGCACTTACGCTACCAAAGCTCCACGACTCAAGAACTCAATACATATGATACGTACGGTGCCAATATACAAATTCTGCAAAAAGCCAGCATGTATACTGTCGCTGTGGTTTAGAAGCATTTTTATTTTTGGCCAGAATTTTTTTTATTCGCCCTCACACACTAATTTGGGGGTCTTTAGAAGATGTCATCCATAAAATCAAGTCGGTGTGGCCTAACATGTCTTATGGGCTAGACATGCCCACTTGTTTCATTGATCAAGCCATTGCTAATATTATGCCATTATATACAAGTATGCCTACTGTATGTATACTATGATATCCCTGAGGTGACTACACCTCCTTGCAGCCTGGGGTTGAACTGCAAGAGCTTTGAGATCAATTAGGTTGTGATTGTCTAGATCTGGCTGCCATACGAGTACAGCGCTACCTCAGGTGGCCTACACTGTATACTACTGGGTTCCTTAAGGAGCAAATATTAAGGCCTTCCTTAAACATGGGAAAGACAGCTGGTGTGTTACTCCAAAGGCTATACAGATACAGACACAGCTACAGATAGTCTGAGTGACATCCACCCTTGCCTTTAGATCTGAAAGTAGGATTGCTAACTATAGTATTGATCAGAAAACACTAATTTGCAGCTCCTAGCTGGTGGCATCTTTGTTATCTATTGGTTCACATAACAGCAGGGTTGCCCAACTACCATACATGTAGCTATTGTCAAGGGCTAGCATCAGGGTCCTAGATAGGATTTAATTTTAACGTAGTGGCACTGGCCGCATGATGAGGCAGCAAAGCGGAGCTTTTAAAGATTTGAGCTTAAAAAGAGGTCATTTGAGGGATACCCAAAGGGAAAAAATGTTATTTCTAAGGTATGTACAATGTATCCTTGATTTTTCACATTTGATTGCCATTCTCGAACAAAGAAATACAGTCAAATTCCCCCCATGCTGTATTAAAAATTAGCATAGGGGTCAAAATTATAGCGTAGGGGGGAAAATTTAGCATAGGGGGTCAAAATTATAGCGTAGGGGGCCCCTACGCTACTTTGCACTAGCTAGAACCCTGAGCATTGTTAGGCTGTGCGTAATCTAGTGGTTAGAGACCATGCCTCTGATTCTGACTCGAGTTTGAATACTAAATGTTGTCACTCACCGGACATGCATGCCACTGGAAAGGGTCGTGGTTCATTGCCTTACCAGTGGTCGAGGAAAAAAAAGGCTAGGATTGCTGGTTTCTTGCTTATTACGGTCGGTTGGGATACCAGAAACGCAGCATTTTTTTTCCTAGGCCTTATACCAGCCTGGGTTGAATACCAGGCCAGCAAGCACACAGAGGTGCCTGTCTTTACATTCCCATTAAGGTTTCTTGCATGACCTTCTTTCATATACACAGAACTAACACTAGGAGGGAGGGCCATATGTACTAAATGTGAGCAGCAGGCTAGGGCTTAGGCAGCAATGGCAGTTGGTACGGTTAACTTTTACGCAATTAGCCTTGACCTTTATTGGCCTGACCCTAGCTCTGCACAAATGTAAAGTTCAAAGTTTCAAAGTGGTGTGTACATAAGCCGAGGAGTATATATATGCATGCACACATAACGTTATATCTATTGCAAAATACATATACACCACCACGCACACACAAAGTCATGCACACGCATACAGGTACACATGATCCGCAATTTTGTACACACACGTACACATGCACATACGCACACACACCTGCACACATACACGTGCGAGCACACAAACATGCACACGTACACAATCATATTGCACACACGCACAAATACAAAGGCATGCTCGCTCATCTATAAATTTGTTAGAAGCTACATAATTTGTATATCATCATACACAGTTTATCTTTATCCAGTGTAAAATGTAAATAAGCTACTACTTACCTTCCTGAGCCATTCCCGCCTATCTTCACCCTTGAGATGTCTCCACTAGCGTCTTAGGCTGACTCAGACGTCTCAGAAGGGAAGGGGGACCAGGGACTTGGATAGACCCACTACAAAGGCGCGTTGGCACATGACCGCTCCGGGCGGGACGCACTGCGGGAAGGACGGGAAATGGACACAGCTCGTGTACGGCACTCAACACACACAAACAACCAAAGATAGCAGCAGTCAAAAAATAGACCGAAGGGCTTTTAGTTCTACCGCGAAGCCGGCACTCCCTACCTCGGGCGAGCTAGCTGCCTCCGCCGGCTGCTCTCGGCGGTTCTCCGGCACCTGTGCGTACGGGACAGGTTCACAACAAAGCCTGAATTTATCGTTCGATGAAGCGTAAGCCGTTTCTTGCCCCCAAGGCGGAGGTGCAACAGGAAAGGTTGCCTCCTCTTGTGCACTTTCCGAACCTGCGCACTGATTCCGCCAACTTCCGCTGATAACCTTTAACCTCTCCGCCGAATCTGTGACAGCTGAATGTACCGCTACGCTTACCGCGCGGAATCAGTAGACCCCGGATGTGCGGCTAGCTTTACATTACAGAATCGGCAGGGAGGGAATGTGTAGCTAGCTTTACCCTCACGGTCATTTTAGAATTTCCGACCGTGGATCAGGAAAGTCAGCAAGATGAACACGATTTTGTCCCGGGCGAACACGATTTTCGCCTTCACCCTGAGCGTGATGGCAGCGCTGACGTTTTGCTGCTTCCTGACGACCGCCATGAACGACCACCTGTCTCCCATCAAGATAGACGTCAACAAAATCATCGTGTGAGTATCCGCCCCCCTCCCCTTCATAGCACACCTTTTCATACATATGTAGCGTTACGTGGCTGCAGCGCATAGGCAACCCTGTAAAACGAACATTACGTGTCATTGAAATGATTGTATGAAATGTATTTATTAAGGAATCTGTATGTGCAAACCTCAATAATTTTAACCAGCAGAGATCCATGCATAAAGTCGTCGAGATATTCTTCCTTGAAACATGTCCTTGATGCAAGAAACCAAACTCAATTAAAATACAATATGGTGACTTCGGTTGCATTCTGTTTTGATAAAAATCATTGTCTTTCCACGCTTCAAGTAGTTACCATTATGGTAAGGATTTGAATATGCTGAATTTTCTGACAGAGTTGATTTGTTTGCCGAACTTTTAAACTAATTGAGTGTTAAGATGACGTGTACCGTATGGACCACGAGGCTATTTGTTGTTGTTACAGAACTGTTAGGGTCTTGGTGTGTGCTGGTAGAGCTGAACACACTTTCAAGAATTGATTAAACATTGTAATAGGAACAGTTGAAATTAAACAACTTTTACACAAGCTATTAAAGAATATTCTGGATTGTACAGACATTTTCAGATGTACCTTTCAACACAAGTGGGTAATTATTAATACAATGTATTTGATTGATAATTTTTTATTTATCTTTTTTTTTTTCAGGAAAAATGTCCAGGATTTCAGCACAACCAGAGAAAAGAATGACCTTGGCTTCATCACATTTGACCTTCAGGCAGATATCCTTACAGCACATGTCAGGCAGCTGTTGTTGTTGTTGTTATTGTTATTGTTGTTGTTTTGCCTTTTTTGCAAGTAACAATTAGTCAGGAAAGAATAGCCACATAACTTGACAGTCAACAAAAGAGACCACTTTATTAGTGAGACAAGACTATATCTAACGTTATGTATGAATGGTAGGGCTGACTGTGTATCTTGTAAGTTTTATTGCCACTACACCTGCACCAGTAAATGTATTTTAGTACAGGTCCAGGTCTGAACATGAACAAATTTCATGCATGCTTATAATGCTGATATGTATATTTACAATTTCTACTGTATGTTTGAGTTGTGTTTTTCCTTGACCAAACGTTCACATCTCCAGCACTTGTTCAACTGGAACATGAAACAGCTTTTCCTGTACCTGACAGCAGAGTACACCAGTCCAAACAATGTAAGGCAATGTAACATTACATGTGTATTCCAGTAATAATATATTAATAAAGGAGCAGTAAATTAATTTCAATTTTTTGACCGCTAAACCCAATGTGTGCCTCTGTCCCAAAGAAAAGTGGTGTAAGCTTCTATAAATCTTATGAAAGTTGCCAATAGACTTCAAGAAGTTACACATTGTTTCTTCTTGAATGAGGTTGCACAAAAGGGCATGTTGCTGATACATTATTTAGTAATGGTTAGTTTTGGCCTGTGTAATTGTTCCAATTCATGGCAGGACTAATGGAAAGCAATGAATCACCTAAACATGAGTTTGTGTTGAACTGTCCAAAAACTGAAACTGTGGTTGTGAATAAAGAACTTTGATATTCAAGTTTGCCACTTATGTCATATGTTGTGGACTAACAATATTTATCTGAAGGTAAGATTGTAAGTACAGAGCTTGTCTGGGATGTTGTCACTAAGGCCACACCAATTTAATTTCTTGGTTAACGGATTCGCCCGCTTCATTTTTTTCTGATTTGCAAATAAAAATAAAAATTCAGAATCAACTGCAAAATGCTCATATTTTGCCCTGAACAGTTGAAAACAGTCCTTTTCATCCTAGTTATTACAGTTATTCCATCTTTCAATGCAATGGTATCATTAAAAGTTCAAAATTCATTGTTTAAATTTTGAACCAGCCTGGTGTGTTGACTTCATGGCTCCTATCATACCATTTTGGGCCATGATAGGTTGCCTAGGCCTGTTTTTATTAATTTTTTTTCACCCGCCCGCTCCATTATTTTTCTAGAAAAATCTGTTAACCAAGGAATTAAATTGGTGTGGCCTAACAGAAAAAATGCTCTGTGAATTCCCCCCTGTAGAAGCTGAACCAGGTTGTTCTATGGGATAAGATCATCAGGAGAGGGGAGAATGCCCGGCTGGACTATCGCAGCCTCCACTCCAAGTACTACTTCTTCGATGATGGGAAGGGACTCAGGTGGGTTCACTCTTGGTTCTCTCTCACCCCGTCAATTCAGCCTCCTCAAAACTCTGATTTGAGTCAGCCATGACCGGACAAGTCACTTCCTAGTTTGCATACAGCATGGGCCGCATGGCATCAAGCAAGGCAAACCCACAAATTGAAAATTGGAAGGTGTCAGCTTTTATTGAATTTTGATTTCTGATTTAAAAATTGTGACATCTTGGAAATGAAATGATCTATGTGGAGGACGATGGTGGTTGCCATTTAAGTTAAACCTTTGAATACAAAAGGTGTTTTGCTGTTTGGATCAGCTCATTTTGGAGTTGCCACAATTTTCAATATGGGACGGACTGAACCCAACCATATCCATTACAACCTGACCAAAGGGCCATGCAGAAACACACACACATGTAGAGTCGACATACCAAAAACAATACCCCCTACTTTTCATTGAGGTAAAAAGGTGACACCTTCACACATGGAATTGGTAGGTTTGCTCTGTTGAAGATGTATGTTTCATATACTGTACCATATGTTACATATACCATATGTAGATACATGTAAACATGAAGTCTGGTTTGTCTTCCCACAGAGGTAACCAGAATGTGACCTTGACCCTGTCCTGGAACGTCATCCCCAATGCTGGAACCCTGCCCAGAATCAGCGGTGTGGGGTCAAAGACATTCCAGTTTCCTGACGAGTACACGCCCGGCAACGCCAGGATATAGAGGGACACACCCGACAACGCCAGATTGTAGTGGGATAGTGTAGAACAGAGACCACACCAATTTAATTTCTTGGTTAAGGCCACACCAATTTAATTTCTTGGTTAACGGATTCGCCGCTTCATTTCTTTCTGATTTGCAAATAAAAATAAAAATTCAGAATAAACTGCAAAATGCTCATATTTTGCCTTGAACAGTTGAAAACAGTCCTTTTCTTACTACTTGTTACAGCCATTCCATCTTTCAATGCAGTAGTATCATTAAAAGTTCAAAATTCATTGTTCAGATTTTGAACCAGCCAGGTGTGTTGACTTCATGGCTCCTATCATACCATTTTGGGCCTATAATAGGATGCCTAGG